GCGTGCCTGCGAGCCGGCCTCCGAACGCACGAAACACGCGAAATGACGATGTCGAATCCTCCTAATGACCGCCGAGTACGAGTACGGTATTTTTAGCGGCGGAGTGAGCGAGCGCGCGCCGACGAGGAAACTCGTTCGTCGTCCTCTTCTCCTCGGATCCCACCCTTAATACGCGCGGCGACCCTCTCCCTGAGACGTCACGGTCATCAGAAGGTCGGCGATCGGGTAACTTTTGTCGGAGAACTCGAAGCTTATTTCGTCAGGGTCTTCGAAGGGTCACACAGTCATCGAAGTGTCATCGAGCTCGCATCGTGCAGGTTTTACTTCTCCACATTTCTACTCTTGAGAGATAGTCACATGATCGCTGAACGAGTTCGCGTGAGAAGCTCTTCTCGTTCATAGGAAAAAGTTGTGCAGATCGTTAGCCAAGATAGAGAAACGATCGGCCAAGGACGATCTCGAGGGGAGATCGTTGTTTGAAATCCTGCGGCCATTTCCAGGTATCGATTTCACCAGCGACCTGTCGTGTAATTCTTCGCTGAGTGATTTTTACGAGAGTAATGATCCTTCAGGATTTCCCACTGATGCGGTCAGTTGTATGGAAACTCTCCGGCGAGTACGCAGGTGGTCAAGCCCGACGTGAAGTTCACGACGGTCGCGCAGCTGCTCGGCTCTTTTCGCGCTAGTCTTCAAGCTCGAGCCCGGATACGCACGACGGGCGAAAATTAGCGGCGCGATGGGGGCATTCGTGAGGTCATGATGTTGTGCGTGAAACTAGCGTGTTGTCATCGCATTCCTCCGTGAACGACGGCGCCGACGGTGACGCGTTACAAAAGCGCAACTGCTCGCGACAAGATCGCTCGTGAGCATGAGCATTCAGAGACGTGAAAAACGTCCGCTGCTGCTGATGGCGGCGGTGGTGGTGGTGGTGGTGGTGGTTGCACGATCGAACCTCCGGATAACCCCGGAGGAAAATGCCGCCGAGCTGGAGAGGAAGACGGGACGGAGATAGATGCGAGCGGACATGATGGCAGTAAAGTTCACGGGGAAGAAATACGCGATACGTGGAAGAGGGCTCGACGAGGGAAGAAGAAGAAGGAGAAGAAGAAGAAGAAGAAGAAGAAGAAGAAGAAGAAGAAGCGGAGTTCTCTCGGGGCGAAATCCGCGGGATTTCACTTTACGATCGCAAGAACGCACCTCGCGCGCGCGCGAGAAACTCTCCTCTTCGCGCTCGCTTTCGTCCGCCACACTCTGCTCCTTCCTCGACTTTCCTGCTGGTCATTCTGAGAATTTGCGCGATCCGATATCTTGGGGCTTCTTTTCTCCTCCTCCTCCTTTTTTTTTTCGCCGCTCTTTCTCTCTCCTTGAAGAAGCGTTTTATCCTCGCTGTGCGTTATTTTTCCACGGCTAGATTTATGCCTCGTTGGCGGTGGTCGTAACGAGTGGACTTAAGTGGGCAGAGAGACGAGATCGGCGGGACTGGGGACTATATCGTCGTTCTTCACGCTCAGGAATTTCGAGATTTACATTTTCGCGCGCCGGTGAACTTGCGTTTATGATGTGTGTATGTGCGTGTTTGAGAGATAATGAGAAATAGTCTCGGCCGCGACGATACATCGGACGAGTCTCTCCGATCGAATTCGGCGGGGCAAGGATACGATGTCGATGATCACACGCGAGAAAATGATATGCGGTACTTTTGGAACGGGACTGGTCCGGCCCCGGTCCGCGGTGTAATTTGTACAGGATTTCTCCGGAGACGAGAGAGAGAAGCTCGCAGTCAAGGCTCCTACCTTGAAGTCATTGACATTGGCGGTCGCGGCACATAGGGAGTCCGATGCTGGCCATTACATCGAATGGTAAATAAAGCAACGACGTTCACGCGTGGCGATTCGATCATCGTCAACAAATATCTGGATTCACCGTTATCTCGCTTGCCTCGCTACATCGAGAATTTACGTTGCCTTCATAAATTTGCAAATGATTCTGGAAGACGTCCCGGACACGCGAGGGTGATCTCATGTGTGCAAAGTCTCTCGTCGTCCGTCTCAGAATCAATCCAGCAAAGCAAACAATCACGTCAGATTTATATTATTACGTTGATGCCTGGAGGTAGGCTAGGGTTTTCTCCCCTCACTTTCAACAAACACTTTCCGCGAGGAAGAGGGGACCCGCGGCAAGACCCGCAAGAAATTGAAATTCGGAAAAGGACTGGCCGCGCTCGCGTTCTCGAGCCCTCGAGCGAGCCTTCGGATTTCTCAAGGCTGCTGCCGCTCTCGAATCTAATGCTCGCCGTCAGATGTTGAATGTCCTCAACAGCATCAACCTCCGACGTGTCGCGCGCTTCTCCCCGCGCGAGATTCCGTTTCGGTGCGCGTTCTGAGGCGCGTCTTTTCAGCATTGCACGATGCGCGCATGATGAGATCTATTATCCCGGATGACTGTCCTCTTTCGCCGGCTTCCACAAACACGGTGCGTCGGTGAACGTCCTCTCTATCGGCGGTACATTCGTACGCATCATCGGGTGTAACGCGCCGACAGACGGCACTTGTCACTCTCGTCGCTGCGCGCCTTCACCGTCGATCGTTGTGCCAGCGTCGACACTGTCCCTCGGTTCTCCCTCGGATCGAAAAATCGATTTGTTGGACACAAATCAATGCATCATCAGCATCGACGCGCTTTCGCAGCGGTTATGGGCGCTATTCATCGTCTTCGATTTCGTACTAAGGATCGGCTTCAACTCATCCTGAGGCGCTGTAAGAACCGTTTCCTCAGCTACTTAGCACCTTGAAGCGAAATCGACATTTAGGCACCTAGGATCTTAAATATAAGAACAGTCCATGAATACCTTTAACCCTTTCACTGTTAGTGGGAAATATATGTACTTCCCACCTTTTCTTGATTCAACTTTGCATTGTATATCACATAATTTTGAAGAACTAATCGGGAATTTGAGTTTCCCAGATAACTGAATAGTTATTCAACATACTCGAATAGGTTTTTATACCCAATTATTCATTTGTGATTATTTATAACAAATCAAAGTTGAGAAAAAATGCTTTTTTTTTAGGGAAAAATCAATTCCTCGGAGAGTATTGAATGTAGAAGTCTGAAGTTTTCACCAAATATTTTTCTGATGATGTACGAAAACATATATTATTTTCAGTATTTTTTTGCAGGTCTGATTTTTTTTTATAAACAAATATTTCTACAAAAACTGCCGAAATTTGATTTTTCTTTTGCATTTTTATTTTCCTAGTTTTCCTTTATTTTCCTCTATTTTCCTAGTTTTTTCATTCTGTATCTCCATCTTATCCACACTATCAATATTGTTTTACTCAAAAGATTCGTAATCAGCGATTCGAAAAACTCATACATCATCAATAATAATCGAAATTTTTATCAATTTCGTATATTATGGTCGCCATATTGAATCCGCCATTTTGAATTTTGCAAATCTGATTTCAGATTCGTAATCAACGATCCGATAAACCCATACACCACCAATAATAATTGGAATTTTCATTAATTTTGTACATCATGCTCGCCATATTGAGTCCATCATTTTGAATTTTGCAAATCTGACTTTAGATTCGTAATCAGCGACCCAAAAAACGTAGAACTACCAAATATTTCAATAATTCTCTCAATGGAAGTTAATTCAGCAGTGAAAGGGTTAAAGCCGGGAAGGCTCGTGTCGGAAAGTCGGAGGTCGTGAAGACAAAGAGAAATCGGCCAAAGATCGAAGGATCAGTTAGGGATCGCCAAGTTCCTTCCTCTCAGAACACACGAATGATGCTTCTTTTCGGGATCCCCTCAAGATCGGAAAAATGTCGTCACTGGGGAAGATTTAAGCACAGTCGAGGACTTCGACGGCGCAACGCCACCCTGATTCGCCGTGTCTCGCCGGCCGCCGATCCTTTTCGGCTACGTCCGGGAAAGGACATCGAGCCGCTTGGCATTCCGCGCGGATCGAGATATTAGTATCGGCACGGTACATCCCCGAATGATATCAAGCCGACGAAGGTATATACATGTGATTCCAGCGACACTCGAATCTCCTCTCTCGGCGGTCGTCACCTGCCGTGCCTCCCCCTCTCTCCCCCTCCACCATTAATTATGCGCGACGCGACGGCGTCGCTTCCTCCGGCCGCGGCTTCCGGCCGCCGGAAACGTCCTTCTAACCGCGGCTGAATCCTTAAATGAAAACGATCTCTCCCTCGCGAAGTTCTCGCCTCCTCCCTCGCCCGCCCTCGCCGCCCCCTCTCGAGTACGATCGCCGATCGCGAACGATACGACGTGGAGACAAATCGCTGTTGGTCGCACCGTTGCATAATCCATCCGTTGTGCGAACGCGCACGCACGCACGCACGCACGCACGCACGCGCGCGTCTAAGTTCCTCCTCGAGGAGGAGAGGGTTCCTTTCGCTCATCCTTCCTCACTTTTCTCCCTTTTCCGACGAATGTTAAGAAATTGCCGGATGTATATCATGTCGTGAGACTCTGACAAAGTGTCTTCGGGCTTCGGTTAATAAATAACGCCGGCAAATTGCTTTCCCTCGGAGAGAGAGAGAGAAAGAGAGAGAGGGGGGGGAGGGAGAGGGAGAGAGAGAGAGAGACGCATAAATATCTCGATACACGTAGCGCTTGAAGACGTTAAAATTACCTCATTACCTTAGTCGCCCCGCTATGGCGGGAATATCGAGACGGGATAGAACGCGCGTAGCAACGAGCTGGAAATATATATCATTGCGACTCAAACGTGCCGTCTCGGAATTCCCAATATCGTTCCTCCGGTATCGAGCGATTCGATGCGTTCACGGCCACGACGCGACGTATCGGCCGACGGGCCGAGGGGAATCTTCAGCGTCTCGCGATGACGTCTTCGCGGCTTTCACGTATTCCTCAGGGTATCCCGGGTGGAGCACTCCGAGTCTCAACCGTCGCGTATCCGATGCTCCGGCGATCTCTACAACGCAATTCTCTCGTTCCCTCGGCAGCAATCGGTACGGCCTGACGAACGAGGACCTGAACCGGCGCTGGAGCAATCCCAACCAGGTGTACCATCCGGTGATCTATCACACGAAGGGCCTGATGGAGTACTGCGCGAAGGTGCTGCAGCGGCCGCCCCACGTTTTCGTCGATTATCACGGCCACTCGCGACGGAAGAACGTGTTTCTGTTCGGTTGCTCAAGGTCGGGTTCCTGGAGCGCCGCGGACAGGACGAAACCGGACCAGCCGGTGCAGTATTTGGTAAGGAAAAGCGAAAGGCAGTCGACCGGGTGATATATTTTTAAGTCTCGTCGCCGGTATCACCATTTACATCCTACATTATACCACCTTGTTGTCATCGCGTTTATCGCTCTCAGCGGCCGCTCTTTCGCGCTTGAACCTACTTCTTCCGAACTTCTCGAATTGTAAGAAGCTGCGGAAAGCCACGAAGCCAGCGGATCTCGTGATCCACGCTCTGTTTGTTCCGCACCAGATGTTACCGCACCTCATGCAGAAGACCTCGCCGGCTTTCGCTTTGCCACTGTGCTCCTTCAAGGTCGAGAGGAACAAGGAATCCACCGCCCGAGTCGCCGTGTGGAGGCAGTTGGGCGTTGCGAGGTAAATGACGGTCGCATCCTGAGCAGCGATCTGTGACTCGCAGTGAGATTCCATGTGGCAAGGTCGCGAGGTTGCGCGTGTAGCCGCCCGTGTAGAACCGCGTATGGCCGAGCGCGCCATTTTCTCTCCTCCTTTTCTCTCTTTTGTCGCGGTGCGGCGCGGCGTCTCTCTCGATTCGCCGGCGGATGATTAGCAGGCGAGATTATCAGCGCGGTGAAATATCGACATTCGCATTTACGTCGAGAGAAAAGAACGCGATGTCACGTTCGCGCATAAAGACGTCAGTACTGCACTGCGCGACGGTGTGTGTGTGTATGTGTGTGATTAGAAGGAAAACTTGAACAATCGTTGATCTTTCGTTGGAACAGAAGCTACACGATGGAGAGCAGCTTCTGCGGCTGCGATCAAGGAGCTCTGGCGGGCCTGCATCTCACCACGGAACACCTGAAAGCTATAGGCAGGGATTTCTGTCAAGCTTTGTCCATGATGAAGGACGGCGGCGACGACTGGGCCGTCGAGAAGTACGTGAGAATCCGCCGGTGGTTCATTTACCTCGAGAGTAGATCTCGTCAAGTCTCGTCAGTATGCGTAATAGGTCTCGCCTACAATAGATGATTTAAGTTTTAAGAAACTGACCAATTGGTAGTCGAATATTCTTCTTAACTTATCTTATTCTTCTTAACTTAACTTATTCTTATCTGTGATTGATCAATTTCTTAAGACTTAAAGTACCAGTGTAATTTCTAGCCTTGGTGAATTGAGTACTTCCCAACACGTTAAGCAAGCACTTTAAACCTTAAGTATTAAGCAACTGACCAATCACAATCAAAGTTAAGGAGAATATTCGACTGCAATTGGTCAATTTCTTAAAGCTTAAATCATCTGTCGTAGACTAATTGTAAGCCTTACAGTATGCGAAATTTGTTTAAGCGGGATTACTTTAAATATGTATTATCGAAATTGCTGTCGAGAGGGAGGGAACGCGCGCGAGAATAAGATTTCCGCGACTCACGAGCGTAAAACAGGCACTCGCCAGGAGCGGCGATTATCCCGGCGAGAGGATCCGAACGAGCCAATGTAGTTCGTCGATCCGATCGAGGTAGAATGATCTCCACAGACTCTGATTCATTGTACGACGCAGATCGACGGAGCAGGCCTGCTGTCCGAGAATGTGCGTCTTGCGAAATTCAAAGAGGGTCCCGAAATGTATTCAGGATAAACACGCTGTACATCATACCGCGGCGCTTCCTTAGCGGCAGAGATAGCCGAGCGATAGCGTTGCAAAGGCAAGATTCGCCTAGAGTCGTTTTCTGTGTTTTTTACGTGTACGAGCGCCATTAACGCTTCCGCTCGCTCTTTTCATACTTCTTCCTTTTTTGCCGACTCTCCCCGCGCTTTTTTCGTCGACTCCTACCGCATCGTCGACATTCGAAAATCTTACGTGTCTATCAGATTAACATACTTACGTCACACATACACACACACACACACACACATCGCTGGGGCTTGAGCGAAAGCAGATCATAATCACGCTTAACACACGTGTGTGCCAGAGTAATTCTCTCGGTGGCGTGCAGAACGATTAATCCGTGAGCCAATCGACGGGACTCGATTGTTCGTTCGGTCGTCCGACGTGTTAATCTCATTAATCACGCTCGTTTCACCTTTCAGGATCCCCGCGGGGGAGCATATTTCCGAGGAGTCGAGATGCATGGACGACAAAGTGTCCACCAGCAGCGAGTCGGACGAGTCCGACTACGAGACTTAAGACCGGAGCCGCACCTCCGTTCACGTATGACAGGCCGAGTGCATCCCCAGGAAGAAATTCATCATGCATATTTAATCGGCGGTGCGCGCGAACAGACGCGTAGACGCGTTAAATGCGAAACGATCGTAGAAATTCCCGTTCCCACGGCGGCTGGCGATTAGCGCGCGCGAAGTGTGCTGTCACTCATGGGGGGAGTATTGTAAACAATGTTTATTTAAAACCGGTAACAAATGTTTAGAGCTACTAGCTATGAAAATATTATACCTATGTCTACATCTATTTGTACATATTTTCAGAAAATTATTATTGCTTTGCAAATTAAATTTATAACAGACACGATTATCCGCTGTAGATCCAACACGGGAGATGATCAACTACTTAAGTTAATGTGGCCGCGTGTGTGTGTCGGGTAACGAACAAGTGGCTCGGTAGGAAGGAAATTTGGAGATTTTGAAATTACATACCGCTGGAAAAATCGTCGTCCGCGAACAATGACGAAACGATGGGATCGAAAGGGCTTGATATATTCTTTCGCGGAATTTTGATCGTCTTCTCCTGGAGAACTTGAGTGATACTCGAAGGAGGAGAAAGAAGAAGAATTAACATGAGACTTGTCGTTCTCTCGTGTTGCGTACCTCGCTCTCTGTACTTTGTATACGTGACGTATAATTGTACCAAGCGTAGGAAATAAATATTATCGAGTTGTGATCTGTGCTTTTTCTTTGTTTTTACGAGACCTCGCCCTTGACGCTTTCCAAAATTGTTGTTTGCATTCCACGGAATATCACACCTCGGATTTTCGATTTGATACCGCGTATCGAGGCTGTGTATCAAGTGCTGATCGCAACTTCGCAAGACACAGCTTCGCTGCCGCGTTGTGAACGCAAGCGTTTCGAAAGCAGTACACACAGTGACGCATGCTGCACACAAAAGTCAGTGACTTTTGGAAGGACCAGTGATTGAGAAAATTAGAAAATGCGGAGAGGAATTTGTGTTTTACAACAACGGGCGGATTGCGATTCATCTTGCGAATATGCGAAAGACCCCTTAGGAAAAATTACTTTGAATTTTCAAATTAACTTAAAATTACTTATAGTTAACTGCAAGTAATTTATATAGTTAACTGTAAGTAACTTTAAGTTAATTTGAACATTTTGAGATAATTTTTCCTAAGGGACGTTGCGAAATTTAGCTCTGAGATCTCTCAGATACTGCTTTATAACGGATCCACTGTCCTTTATATTCCTCGAAAGCAAACTTTCAGTAGGAAAATCTGATGAAAACGACTCGTCAGTCAAGAGCGTCAAAGTCAACCGCGTGATATTTGTGTGCTACACTACAGTCGTGTCACTTTGGAAACAAGGAGTTATCGTTATCGAAATTCGGCGATACGCATATATGATATATTGCGCGGATATATCTATATATATATATATATATATATATATATATATCTCTCTCTCTCTCTCTCTCTCTCTCTCTCTCTCAAAACAATTTGTGTATTCGCGTGGTCGTCCTAATTTTGGCAATGACTGTATTTCATCACGTATAAAATAGCGGATACATCTGGTACAACACGTGATAACGTGATGGTCGTCTTCACTTAACAACGCGAGCTGCCTGCGAACTAAAATTATTCGATGGCAATATGGCAATGTCGAAAAAATCCGTCGAGATCAAGCTACGAAGAAAATTGTGCCCTGATATACAATATATCAATAGAATATTAATTGACCGAATCGAGATTACTTTTGTACATGCAAGTACAAATTGCGCGCTACAAATTTGCAGATCTATCGAGTCGGAGCGATCGCGGAAAGGAAAGGAGGAAAGAATATCGTCGAGAAAACCGAAAAAAATCGTCGTCTACGTAGAGCCCAAGCGAACACGGCTCGAAATGAACCGTTAAAATGTTATTGTCTGTTTCGCGCGTGTTTCACGATGGCCAAGCATGCGATCGTCGCGTAATCCACCTCCCCGCGAAGAGTTAGCTTACTGTTGTGCCTTACGAGCGTAGAGAGCCGACGTACAACTGAAACTTCCTATACGAATATGCCGAGGAATCTCACCTACCATGTTCTTTTCTTTTTCTTTTTTCTACGTATTTCTTCGCGCATACGCTTGTGTGTGTGTGTGTGTGTGTGTGTGTCCGTCTGCGTGTGCATGTGCCGCGCGTGTCGACGCGTGTATCTCCGTTTTTTCTACGCGTACATTCGAATGAAAGTGTCGAAAGAAATCGAGCGTCGTCCTGTCTCTCGCTACAGACGGTATTTTCCAAAGTGCAAATAATTCCTCGTCGATTAACGAGCGGCAAGCGTCGCGTCGCGTCGAGTAACAGCCGGCGATAAGCACGGATATTCGCGCTACGTTCACATTAACACGAAGCGAAAGGAAGGAACGAGAACAAGAAGAAGAAGGAGGAGGAGGAGGAGAAGGAGGAGAAGAAGAAGAAGAAGAAGAAAAAGAAGCAGTAATACGAGGATATTCGTCGTCATCGTCGACCACGGTGTCGTATCTTATCGTCGAACACGCGATACTCTCTACCTCTCTCTTCCAGCCCTGCGGAATACCTTCTATTCGTCTACCCGTTGGACTCGCGCGTCTTATCCTAAGTATACGACATTCTTCTACGGGAATGCGAATTTTGACAAGATAACGCAAAGGTTACGATGGATTACACCGATGTTTAGCGCCGATTTTTCTCTTTCTCTCCCCCTCAGCCGGCAGTCGCGAGGACCTCCTCATTCTATGCCGTGCAGCTTCTTCACCTGCAACTTCATCTGCTCGTAGGTGATCCAGAGCACGATGTTCCAAGACACCAGGCGCGTGAAGCTCGGCACGAAGCCCTTGTAGAACGCGGACGGCCCTTCCTGGACGAAGGTCTTGACGGCGCAGTCTATCGCGCCCTTGTATTCGCCGGCTGCGCTGTTCATGTAACGCGTCTTTATCACGTCCACAGGACTCGCCGCCAGGGTGGTGCAGAGTCCGGCGGCCGTCGCGGCCGTGAAGTGACACGGGATCCCATCGCGGAGATAGCCACTTGCCAGGATCAGGTCCTTAATGATGTCGTAACAGACTATCTCCGCCACGTTCACTATCGCGTTCCGCGAGATGTTCGGCAGGGTTCCTGCAAGGGCGAACAATTGCGACCGGATTTAATGAAGCCTTCAGTCTCGACTCGCGATTTATGTAAAAGATATAGGAAGCCGACGAGAAAAATGGAAAAACGTCAAAAAAATGTTATCGCGAGGATATCTGAAAGGCACATTTCTTAAGATACAGAAACATAAGATAGATCAAACAGATATAGAATAAGATATAGAAAGATATAGATAAAATATCGAATATAGATATAGAATCAGATATAAATATAAAATATCGATATAGAATAAAATATAGATACAGATAATATAAGAGATACAGAAATATAATACATTTCTTAAGATATAGAAATATGTAAATAAAAGAAATGACTCGAGACTTGGCTTGACACAATCGTGCCGCGATCGACGACTAGACGAGTTCCCGCGGGAGAGTCGCGAGACGAAAATCTTCCGCCCTCACCTTTCCAAAGGCCTCGCGCGCCCTCCACGTGGGCGATATTCTTGTACGCCTGCAGAGTGGAGCTATACCTCATCGACGGTCGCCCATTATTTCCAGCTTGCAAGCGGATCTTGACGACGTCGGTCGGCTGAGCAATGAGCACCGCCAAAGCGCCCGTCGTGATCCCCGCGGCGACGCGCACGCCGATGTTCAACGTGCCGCTCCTACTATTACCTGTTGAAATAAAAGTGAACGGTGAAGACCGGGCGGGCCGTCGTGGCGGGTCGGTGGGATAAGATATATTAAAAATTAAGATGCGGGCGGTAGTAAGTAGAACGGACGGACGCGGGTTGCGCGTCGATCACTTTTTTCTTTTTTTCATTGGCTCATTAGATGTTCTCCAATTACAGTCAACGTCGCTCCTAGCAGAATTATCTCCGAGCATTCGCGATCGTGTACGTTAACGGACGTTCTTCTCGACCGGTTTGTCTCCTCGCTTTGGCGTTACCTCGCGAGCGGCGAACATTTTTATCGGACGCGGGAGACGCGAAACGCGAGTGCAAAATCGCGACGGCAGAGCGACAACTCTCGTCCGACGAGACCGGATCGGCAAGCGAGTGGAGGAAGCTTCGCGTGGAGATTAGAATCGTATATATCGACATTTTGTTTCATCCCGGATTCCAAATCGGCGCACAACATTAGGCTTATCCTTTTATTTTCCTTCCTTCTTTCGGGCGAGCTATCTCTCTCCGACAGTCGTCTGTGTATGCCCGAGTTGTACGCGAGGCCGATTCACATCGCGATGGATCGTTATCCGCGATTAACGCGAGTTACGAGAAATTTGGCATGCGAGATTAACTGTCGGTAGCAATCGCTCTGCTCACACGCGACAGAAGAATTTGTGCGATTTATCGGAGCATACACATATGGACGCGATACACGAGAAGAAGAAAAAAGCACAGAAGAATTCACCGACCAATTGATTGCTTCGCACGCGAGACACTACGATCGGCACCGAGAGAAAGCGTTTGTATCACGAGAGAATCTAAAAGTACGTACGATCGAGTAAAATTCGGGAAAAGTCTCAGCGATTGGTCACACGCGAGAGAAACGAGCTTCGAATCGTCGTCTCTAATTAACAAATGCAAAATTCAGAAATGCCTTTATTATGCGAGTTCGCTCGCGAGCGAAAGTGGCGCATGACAACATGAAATCTCGCGGGAGTGACGAATCGCAACTTTTCGCCAAACGTGAGTGTAGTAAAGTATGCGTAATTAATATGTAATTAGTCTCACGATTGTCCAATGTGCAGCGGCTAAGAGTTACAAAAGACGTTCGGGTCCCCGCATCAGAAGTGGTAATCTCTTCGCCGTACACTAATCTTTTCGCTCCCCCATACCCATTCTCTTACTGTTAACTTATCTTTCCTCCTATTTCCCATTCTATTTCTCTCGGCCGCGAAAACCACGCGAAGGATGAGAACGTGGACGAAGAACACACGTTTCGAGCATCCCAGCCGGGGCGGTCCAGTCCGCGCGAGTGGAGCTTGCGAGAGTTTTCGCCGTGGCAAAGTGAGCGACCGATATGATAATCCGCCGTTCGTGTACTTGTGGGTAGGTGCTTGTGTGTGTGTGTGTGTGTATGTGTATAGCATGTATATACCTGTGTCAATATCAGGTGACATTCAAACGGGCTCATAAGAGGCTCAACACACTTCGTCGTGCTAAAATCCGCGTTAAATCGCTCGTTGAGAATCTTCGCGACGTTAATCGTGCTGCAGTATCAATTATCGATATTACGCAACTCAGATAAGCTTCTCAGATGGATGATTATGAAATTTACTGTTTAGAACCTTTGCTCCTCTCAGCGGTCGAGATACTTTTGACAAAAGTATACCAGGAAAACTTTCAAACTTTCTCCGCGTTTCTCATCGCAATATTTCTAATTGCCAGAAATTGAATAAAATTTTTGCCGTCGTTCGCATCATTTTTTTCCACTCACCCGACATTGGTGTGTTGCATATCTATGTGCGTGGCGGTGTTCATGTGTCGTTAATGTGATGCAATATTTGTCTACTATGTGTGTGTGTGTGTGTATGCGTGTATTTGCGCGTGGTAAAGAGGCGGAGTCGCATCGCACGGCTGCTCACATCGCAAGAGGTATATTATCAAAAAGTTAGGAGTTTGTTGGATGTACCGTCGATGATTCCGGCGTAGAGTGACTTGACGCTGTCGTAGAGGCCCAACCGTATGCTGGCGAAACACATCTGTCTCTGGAGTCCCGCGGACAGACCTCCGTACAGGCTCCTGTAACCACCCTCGCTCAAGCTCACCGCCCTCACAATTTACCCTCAGATGCATCCCCAGGGCATATGTTTTGTTACACATTTCTCTCTCCTCTCTCTCTCTCTCTCTCTTTCTCTCTCTCTTCCTCTCTCTCTCTCTCTCTCTCACTCTCACTCTTCCTCTCTTTTTCTCTCTCTCTCTCTCTCTTTCTCTTCCTCTCTTCCTTTCTATCTATCTCGCTCTTTCTCTTTCTTTCCTTTTCCCTCTGCCTCTTTTGCTCTCTGTCTCTCATTGTATTTCTTTTCTTTCTATTTATTTATTTATTTTTTTTTTTCCATTACAGATCGTCCCCCTTTTATTTAAATATTGCGTAACATATCTTTCTTGGTTGCTCCCCCGTTTTTTCCCGCTTTTACTTCGTCATCCGCACAATTTCCCCCGCGTTTCGTTCTCTATTTCATTTCATTTCATTTCTTTTCACTACTCAACGCGCTATAGTCTCCCTGGACACATCGGATATTGTATAGCAAAAGTCAATTATCATTTAGTGTTAGTGAAATAAAGAATTTCAGATTCGGAGGCGCGCACGAGAGAAAAGAGAAGCGGCCCGAGAGCCGAGAAATGACTGGGAGAGAGCGTGCGTCACATCGTCAGCCGACCGTGATTTTGCTGCGTTGATTGAATCGCGTCGCGCTCGGAAACTCAATCAAAAGAAGAGAAGGCAGCGGGCCCGGTGGTCAGAAAATGAGTAAAGCCGCCGCCAGGCCAGATGAACGAAATAAAAGAAAGAACCGTGAGAACTTAGCAAATCATACATTACGGAGGGGAAACGAGAGAGGGATAAGCGCGAGTTGTCTTCCGCGATTTTACGATCGATTCCGTCGGACGGACGTGTGGACAAAAAAGTATCCGTGAATTTATCTTACGTATCTTAGAAGGCAGATTTGCATAAAAAGTGTTACATGTCTTTCTATGTATCAAGCGGAGTATTCTTGCCGGAATTTCACAAACAACTCACACGCGAGAGCGAGAGAAGTTGAGCCAACTCTCCTCGTCGAAACGGTGGCGACGAAAGACAACTCGCGTGCGAAAGAGAAATTAAATAGTAATAATAATAATAATAATAATAATAACAATAATAATAAAAAGAAGAATGTCCCAAGTATCGACTGGAGTGCCATCGACAAGGTTCTTTGCGTCCGTCTCGCTGTATCGCTCGACCTTCGCCGAGATGCGATATGTAACCGAATCCTTGGAAGCCAGTCGCATTTTCTTATCGCGTCTCATGCATAGTAAATTATTTTACATGGGCGGGTCTCCTCGTCCTCGTCTATGGCACTCGATCGAGAAGCAAGGCCAAAAGAAAGATCACATTCGCCCGGCGAGACAGAACGTTGGGAAAACTTGCCGCGGAAAGAGCGAAAAGCGTCGTCGTTCTGTGCATGTGCCAGATGTCGAGCTGTTAGCGCGTTACCGACGTAGCGAGAACCGCGTGAAACGCGTCAGCCGCGATCGTTTTCATCGATTCTTCCTGCCTTCGCGCGCCGGCAAAGTGTCACTGAGGACGTACTTGAAAAACAAATCGATTTACGTCATGCTGCTTAAAGAAGCGGCGCGCGGGCTGTAAACATCTGTTACAAGCGAGTGTCACGTCGCAGGCAGATCGTGCGGGGAATATCGAGAAAAGGAATTACCGAGAGCGAACGACATTTGACATTTTCCGATGTATGCAATTTACATTCGCGTTTTCCTATTCCCTTCTCTTCTCGCTTCTTCTTATCGCTAGAAGATTAAACATCCCACGTTCCCTCGAAAAGGAATACCGAGCGAATGACATTTCAGACGCGCGTAATCTGCATTCGCGATTTCCTTCTTCCCCGATCTTCCTGGCCGAGAAACTTGAGAGAATTAAAAGCCGCGTTGTCTTCTCGCGAGATTATCCCGAAATTGTTCGGAAAATGTTTCGCGAAGACTTCACCGTATCTCTATCGAGTCGACGAGAGAGAGAGAGAGAGAGAGAGAAAGAGAGAGAGAGAGAGAGAGAGAGAGAGAGAGAGAGAGAGAGAAAGAGAGAGAGAGCGCGCGACAAGAGGATCGATCAGCTCGACCTGGCACATGCCGCGACGAGATGGCGGCTGATTGACAACAGCAGACCGTGTATTGCGAAGTATCACAATATCATTTCAGAGAGATTGATACTCGAGCGAACATGGAACCGTTTGATCGGCAAGTACTACACGAGCAAAAACACAGCAACTCTCGCGAGCGCTTCGACTCGAGCTTGAAATCGAATGACCGTTCGGGTGCGGGCAAGGGAAGGCCCTGCACACCCATATAGATTCGTTTCGCAATATTGTACAACCCCAATACACCGACGGAGATCGAATGTGAAAAGCTTGGAAAGTCTTTGCTTCCTTTTACCTACCATCGGCTCTTACTAGTCACTAGTAGGGCGATAAATCACGTACCTCGCTCCCTCGAGTCGAACGATGTTGACGATGGTCTGCAACAATCCCGGCTGGCTCGCTCTCATCGCAAGGACCGAACCCTCGGCCGACGCCAACATCAGGGCTTGACCCTCGCCCGCGATCTTCAAGGGCACACATCGCGAGATCGTGAGATATCGATTCGCGCGACTCGCGACAGACAATGAATAATGGACGAGGTCACGGCCGGGATATCAGTCGAGTGCGGACAATTGCCAGTCGTATTGTACTCACTTGCATTCTGACTTTGGCGGTGTCCAACGGAAACGTCGCCAGGTCGGCGATGCAGGCCGCGGAGCCCGCGGTGAGCAGCTTCCAGCCAAGAGAGAAGTCTTCCTGCGCGCCTTGCTTCATGATCCCCGTTTTCTTATTTCTGATTATCTGATATCTATTTCTCGTCTCCTTCCTCTCCTCGATTACTGCTACGAACGCGTGCTGTTGAGGGTGTGACGGCCTCGTGAAAAGATAGAGTGCAAGAGTGTTTCTTCGACGAATTTTTTTCTTTTCTGTTTCCCTTTCTCTTCGCTCCTTCTCTCTCTCTCTCTCTTCCTTGATTATCTTTCCCCCCTCGCCGGGCGGGGCAACTCCGTTTGTTAGAGAAGCAATGTATGTACACTATATACAAAGTCCTACCAGAGGACAGGAACCTTCAGATGGTCATGAATTCGACGTGGCTTTAGAGCTTCTCCTCAGGTTCCCTGAAGTGATCGGGATAAGCGTGGAGTCCTCCCGATCGCGAACACTCGTGCTTGATTTCCTGCCGGTCGACTTCTTTATACATACTATTCTCCTGCGAACAGACAATCACGCGAAGGACGCTGTGCAGTTTTATAGATCGCGTGACACACCACACACCACTACCGCTACCACCGACTGCGGTCCGTCATGCTCAACACGGAGACGAGTCGAATTCGCGGCGACGCTTGTACAAAATCGGCCGACTGATAAGTGTCGGCGAAAATATACAGCTGCGCAGTAGCGTCGGCGATGCCGAAGGTGACAGGCTCGATATTAGCGCGTATCAAGCCGCAAAACGATCAACGACGTGCTCGGTTATTTTTCTCTGTCATTCCTTTCGTCAATCGAGAAGCTCGAGAAGCGACGCGCGCGGGTCATAGGTCGCGTCTATCGACCGATACGCGCTCGATCATCTTCGGATCTGGATAAGACCTATTGATTGACCGATTGAAATCAATCGCGATGTGACGTAACTCGGTTAATCGACCATCCGATGGCCCGTCCAACGGTCGATCGCGAGCCGCGTCGTTAACGCGTTATCGCGACGCGCCTCCCAGCGATCGCGCTCTGATATCACTCCTCTTTTCTTTTTCTATTCCCTCTTTCTCGCCCCCACGCACCGATCGAAACGCGAAAGCTGCGAGGAGGCCGTCGTCGCATCGGCCGTATTCCCGTTTCCGCGCGCGGAGAGACTTTTCGGCCACTGCGGCTTCGGTCGGTGGCTCAAAATAGAGCGAGCGCGTGTGGGATGAAAGGGTGAACAGCTTGGGGAGCTGCCAGGAGAGGAGGGAAGGAGAAGGGACCAGGAGGTCGCGAATTCGCGATCGTAAAATGATTTACGTCGACCGCACGAAAATACGGAAATGGCGATGACGATGATTGAACTGAGCGGAAAATAGAGCGGAATGGAGGCGCAAATCGGGACTCCCCTCGATTGCTCTCGTCTCGATGCTCTTGGCCATTGGCCGTACAGGCGATTTTGCTAATGCGAGTAATTACGTTTAATGACTTGGTTGTCACTTGGTATTTAGCTTGTTGGTGCGTTCGACGTTGCAAATTTACAAATGCGTATTCGCGGCTTCTAATTAGCAGCGTTCGTGATTTCCGTAACTCACAGTGATTTCGAATTGTATTGTAGTTTCGAGCTGACGCTAAATATAAATGTTTGAATTCAGATCTAGATGACACTCGGAGACTGTCCGTTGCGCAATAGATAAAAGTGTTTTCCAAATAATTTGATCATCATACGATCGCTTCAGCGGCAGCGGAAGCTACATAATCGCGCTTACGCTCGAGTTACGAAGTGTGCTTTTGGTTGCGTGTGTATGTGCATATACATTAGTTGTGAATATGAATGAGCTGCTAAATAAGCGTCGGCATAACGCGCAGTTCAAAGAACCAGTTCAGAGGACGCGACGGCTGCAGCGGACGCTAGACTTTGTTCGTTCGTTTTATTGCGAAGAACGGCGCGTCTGTTGGTTATCAAACGCGCGAGAGCATCAATTATTGACTTTAAGTAACCAATATTATGCTGTCAAGCCGCACAGCCCGATAACGCTATGTACGCTTACCAATCAATTCCAGAGGACTTCGAACCTCTTGCATCTCTTTTCTAAGAGGAAAGCTTCATCGCCAATCGCCGGCGCGTCGCGCTCGATATTATTAACAAACAACGCGCCGTTTCCAACTCAGTCGTCGCAATCCATCCGATCGATCCGCCGCAATTAGCGAACATTTTCGATCGATGTGTCAGTTTGTCTGCTTCACCGAAGTTTCAGATTCGCATTCGGAATTACTTTTACTAAAATCGTGAATATATAACCGGGAATATTATTTGTCACATATCAGTCATGTGAGAAATTTATTTATTTAGTAATAATATACGGGTCTGACACTTTTGATGTATAGTAGTTGAGACAATAGTACGTATAAGAAAGTAGTGGTACGAGTAAGAAAATTCTCATACAATGAATAGATAAAAAAGATAAAAAAAGAAAACAAGAAGAAAGGGAAGAACGAAAGTAAGAAAAAAAAAAAGGAAAGGAAAAGGAGAAAAAATTTCTTTTTATCTTCCTTCCGCTTTTTAATCGAAAAAGAAGCGACGGGTCGTTGACTGATCGGTCGAAGCGCGCTGAGTTATTCCGTCCAGAAAAATCGATGCTAAGAAGCCGAAATTCGGTTACCTTCGACGAAAAAACGCTCCTCTCGTTCACTGCCACGTTAATTCGACCGGTCTTTTCTCCTCTGTGCGAAATGAGTATAATATTAGATTATCAAGCGCGTAAAGTAAATTCTTCGCTTTCAATTTCTCATTGGCTCATCCGGAATATTTACGTGAACGCAAACGCGAGAGATAGCGATATATCACATCACACGAACAGCAGAGTGCAAAGTCCACCGTTGAATTATTCGCGATGCGTTGAAGTTATAGCCAGTATCAGTGTTGTGTTTTCATACAACTTTACGCGTGTGTGCTCGTAATTCGCTGCGGAAACTTATTCGAAGAATCGCTTGCCTATATATAAGCTTAATTCAAAGCGATCGATAAAGTGTTCACAGAAGTCGGGAGGAGCGTTTCTACGTTCGTCGGGTCGGCGATTTTCGCCAATGAAGCCGATTCTCGCGACTCCTTTTTGTTCCTCTTTCCTATTAATCGCGGCCGATCGCTCGCGAGATTTCAGATTTGCATGAAATGCAAGTTGCGAGGAATGTTAAACGAACCGCAAAGCGTTAATTGCACGCTAATCGTATTCGCGCGTATGGCCTCCTTTCGAAAAAGTCGGAGCAGCCGTCGAAACGCAGGAGTACCCGCGGCATCCATGCATCGCATGCGGAACACGTCGTCGGTGCGAAGGACGAAAGGCGCGTATCGATTGTCCCCGCGGTGCGGGGCGGGGACACAGAAAAGCGCGGAACAATCGCGGAAAATGGCGAAGTATCGAGTCGAGTCGCGATTTCGTAACGCTCCGGGGTGGTCGGCGTTGCGAAATATTCGTTTCCGCGACTGCGTTTACACAACGCAACGTTGCAATTATCAGTGTTGCGGAAGATTACATTGCAATCGTATATCTATATCGAGTCCTTTTTATATTACATTTCAGTCACGCCACAAATCACGCGACAAATCCCTGATAAACATATCGGCAATCGCCGGGGAGCGGTTCTCGGCTACGAAGAGGGAAATCTTCTGTAATCGAATGGGGACGAAAACTCGCTGAGGACGAGTGACTGTCCCTTTCCGGAAGAGGTTTCTTCCCGAGAATCAGGCACGAATCCTGACACGTATCCTGACACCTTTCTAGGTCACAGCGTGTCAAGTTCGAGCTTTCTCGTTGCCCGCCGCAGGACCCTGATCGATCGGCGACTCGTCGACGTGAGTCATACGCGATTGAAGCCGCCGGACGAAATTGCTAGCCAGGACGACACGCTTTTCCTCCTGATGCCTCGGCTGTCTCGCGAATCGATGTGGAGCGGATCTCCCTTCGCGCATACGCGTTGCATCGCGATACGCGCGTTTCGCCGGCTGCGGACTTGGCCGTTCTCGGTCCGCTGCATTGTGCCTCGCGAAATTCTTCGCGAAGCTACCGGCTCGTTTTGCGTGCGCGATGTACGCGTACGCGTGTACGTGCGTATACGTATAGGTAAACACGAGATAAACGATAGCCGGTCTCGCGTGGGAAAGTTCCTCCGCGAAGCCGAGAGTTCGCTCCACGGCTCGATTTTTTAACGTTGCGCCTCCACCGGCCGGATCGCTCACGATTGCCTGGTTTATAGTCATTACCGTGTAATCTATATCATTTGTATAATTTATGTAATCTACAATCATTACTGCGTTTAAAATCGAAGGAAGGGAGGATATTCTTTGAGGGAAGAGGAGTGAGACCGGTGGGATCGGAGCAGGCGAGAGAGGCGTCTCTCGAGGTCTCGCTTGTGTTTCTGCGCGGAAAATGAGGCTCAGCCGCCCCCGTCAGCGTCCGTAATTAACGCTAATCGACCAAATTGCTCACGATTGCTCGCTTCATATCACACGACCGCGAACTGGATAAAGAAAAAAAAAAAACATCTCCAGAGAGAATAATGTCTCAACGAGATCGGAGCGCGCGAGAAAAGCGTCCGTCGAGATCTCGCTCGCGACTTTCCGGGAAAGCGAACGTCGAAGAGAACTCAGCCGCGTTTCGCCCTATACAGGTTGACACCTGTATAGGGCGCAGCTGTTTCGACGAGAAAGCGAACGCAGCGTAGGAAAAATCGATCGGCCCGCTTCGTCACGCGTTCACGTCCGTCGCGTTGCGTACTTCCGCCGCGTGAGCGAGACTTTTCGAAATTTTCCGCGTTCTTCGCCGCACGGGCAGTTCAACGATACGGCGACGAGACTGTTCGTCGTAGGTACTAGGTCTTGGCGTGTCAGGAATAGGCTCGAGTTACGTGTCGCGACCTGCTGTGTCGTGCCTCACGGAATCAGCGCGAAAAGAGCCGCGCGAGGCTGCGGTTGTTTGCAGTCGGCAAATGTCAGCGGACATCGATTCCTCGGCGCTTCGTCGCGAATGCCCTCGCCGCGACGACAGGCGGATAATAACGCGATAATGGCGTAATATACGTGTCGAAGGACTGTGCGATAATTATATTTCTCTCGCGCGATTGTCAAGCGCGCGCTCTCGCTCGCGTCGCGTCAGCTACGAGGAGGAGCGAAGAGGAGATGCGAGCTGACAACGGAGAACCGACGGAGATCTCTCGCGAAGCTGGACGCATTCGTGTCCAGTTCCGACAAATTGCGACGTGCTTCTCATGAGGAATGATCGAAAGATAAAGGAAAAAAAAGGACAGAATAATTCCACGCTGCGAGGAAGGTGACGAAGCGTAACGACCGCGCGCGTAACGACGTTCGCAAATCCGGCTGAGTCGGCTAACAAGCGCTCAAATCGCTGAAAATCTGCGAGCAAATGTGACGTGCAAAATCCGCAGGCTACTTACCAAGTGTGCAGTGAGTGGGTAACAACACAACTGAAAGGAATTATGAGAAAGCACCGTGTATATACCGGCCCGCCGGCCAATGGCGGAAGTTCAAAGTCTGTGCAGCCAATGAATAGTCGGCCGTGGCGTCATCCGCGGCCAAGGAAAGCTGAGCTTGCGGGTAAAATCGATCGAGTTTGAAGAAGCGCGCGCCGCGCCGCGCCGCGCGAGGACCTGCCCGCGCCCTTTCCCGGGAAGGGTAACGCGAGGGTGTCACGACACCCACGCCAGCGGGAGTAACGTCTGCTCATGAGCCAGCGGGGGATCTCCCTGTGAGGTCACTGTGAGGCCAAGGAAAGAGAGACAAAGGGAAAGACCGAGCGCGACCGCAATGGCGACCGCGATTTTCGCAGCGTGACTAAACACGCGGCTGAAGCAAAATTGCTGCCGGCTAAGGTTCGATCGCGTTATCACCTGCTTGCTTTCTGCCGATCGGCGCCCGATGCTGGCCTGGCCGATGGATTTCTTTCCATTGAGAATGCTGACGCGGACTCTGACTCGTGTGGATATCAGCCGCCTGCATTTCGACGGCTTGAACGACGATAATCCGCCGGTACGACCCGCTAATGGCGTTGCATAATGTGAGTGGTTGCGTAACGGCGTTATTTTAGTTTTTCAATAGGATTTCAATAGGGTTTGAACGAACTTCTCGTTCTTCTCTCGCTAGTGTTCTTCCGATCGAGCTCACATTTTTATTCTCCTCCGGCTTTACGTTTGCTCACGTGCGTTCCCACGTCTCTTTATTTACTCCATGGTATTACTATATGGTATACGGTTGACTCGTTTCGTGTGTCGTGGAAAATTTAAAATACGGACAAAAGAAAATGTTTGTGCATGAATAATTGGTCAATTGGGTCGTTAGGAGGTGTCGCTCGTTGATAGATTGTTCAGAAGTGATAATCGCCGACGTGTATATGAGACATGTATGAAACAGATTTCTTGAATTCAAGAAACGCTCGCGAGAAAATCTGGTTGATCAGATCTGCGATTCGCGCGAGCGCTCTTGTACTTTGACTTTGTTATATATCTTCTCTGTGGTATATTGTTTTTCCCCGCTGGATCATATTGGAAAGCTTGGAGTTTGTATTCTCATACATATTTATATACTTTGAAAATCAAATACGATTTCGAGGACACTCGAAACGCGAAAGAGGATCTCGATAACTTTCACAAAGTGAAAATTGTATTAGAGGAAAATCTGTCCAGCGTTGCCAGAAATTTATTTTTCCGCTGATAGCTAAGGCAGTCTTTTATGAGAGAAATTTCAGTCTGATAGCTCACTTTATTTTAAACAATGCGACGAACGTCGGTATACTCATATCAGTATTTTAACCGAGTCTTATTGTATTAATAATGTGATAATTTTGATAATTCTTAACATGAGTATAAAGCGTTTAATTATACTGTCTCGGCCGGGTCTATCCATCTCATCTCCGTATTGTAAATAAATAATTTAATAAATATGGCATGTTATAATATTTTCAGTTTCCAGATTCTATTTAATCTATTTTTCAATTGTAAAGATTTGTATTGTGTATTTGTACAATAAATAAAAAAAATTATACACTCTATACACACAAATATTAAAGTATTCCTCGATTACGAAAAGTATGTAAAATTCATCAGACTATAATTTACACATAAATAATGACAACGATGTGCTTCAAGAAGCATTTTACAACTTAAGATCTCTAGTTTTGATGTGCATCGTCGAACATAAAAATTATTTAATTATTATAATGTTATACAAATATAAATAGAAAAATTCATCAAATATTAATATTTTTTATAAAGTTTGTCAAGTTATATTTTTCAAGTTATATGAAAAGACTTTGTACACAAATACTGTCTGCAATACTTAAAAGTACTAATTTTTTATTTTAATTTGCATAGTATATAGATTATGGTACGATTTATTTCTACCAAGTTGTTAAACATCGAAGCAAAGAGCGTTCTATTAGGCTTCATCGCTTATAAAAAAGAAAATAATAAATGTATGATGACTATCAACAAATCAATGCTAAAAAGCTAAAAATTCCCTTCTTAAAACGCATTTGTCGCAAATTTTTTACTTAGATTAATTTTCTATGTAACATATTAATCGAAATACATAGGTCAAAATTAGACTATTTTTTATTTAACTTAATGCAATTTAGTAAAACACGATGGCAAAGTTATAATATTAATATGGCTAAAAAGTAGAGACTTCAAGTTGCAAAATGCTTTTCGAATCATCTCGATATTGTTATTTTTAGAGCATTTACAGCCTGTTAAATTCCGTATATTTTTTTTAAATCAAATAGAAGTTGAATTGTTGAATTGTACCTCGGTTCCTCGTCAAGGAAAGTGGCGGCTCGTAGCGGAGACTTGCGAACTAATTTCGAACAAAATAATGGGTCTAAGGAATGACCACTCTGTTTTAGACCCCTTATTTATCTTTATTTCCTCTCGATATAAACTTATTTTCTTTTCCTTATTTTCTCTCGAGATAGATGCATTTGGAGAATGCTTCATTCGAAGTTAACACCTTATCTGCACGTTGAACTAACGGGTTTAAAGAATAGTCAATTATAATGGTCCCCTTAAATTGTCACCGTCGGAACTTTTGACTATATAGTCAAAGGTCGAAAGCAACTCCACTTGAAGTTAGCCCCTTATTTAAATTTAAATTCAAATTCAAATTCAAATTTAAATTCAAATTCAAATTTAAATTTAAATTCAAATAAGAGGCTAACTTCAGGTGGAATTGCTTTCGACCTTTGATTATATAGTCAAAAGTTTCGACGAACTAACGGGTTTAAAGAATGGTCAATTATAATTGTCCCCTCCACTTGAAGTAGGCTTTTGAATGCCGATCAAAATAATAAATCTAAAAGGGAATAACTAAGAATAGACCCCTTATATATGTGTCGATCAAAATAACGGATCTAAGAAAGGAGTAACTAAATCTAGACCCCCTATTTTTAAACAACAAATATGGAGTTAACTTTATGTCATAGAATAGTCAAATAAAAGTTAATCATTCTTTAAACCAGTTCTTTTGACGGGCAAATAAGGAGCTAACTCCAAGTGAAATGTTCTCTAGACGCGTTTATCTCGAGAGAAAATAAGGAGTAAACTAAATAAAAGAATTATATTTAGATCAGCTATTTGTCAATTGAAAATAAGGGGTCAAACAGCTCGGCCATCTTAGACCCGTTGTATCCGAAAGCAAATAAGGGGTCTAAATTTAGTTACTTTAGACCCGTTATTTGATTGACTCATATAAGGGGTCAAAACATGGTTATTCTTCTTTAAGGCTCGTCTACAATAGCTGTAAGAGTAAGGCTGTAAGGCTGCAACGTAAGCTGTCGGCGAATGAAAATATTTCATTTCGTGTCTTGCAACCTTACAGCCTTACTCTTACAGCTAATGTAGACGAGCCTCTAGACTCGTTATTTTGGCATAATGGGTCAAATTGAGCTTACCTTAGACCCGTTATTTTGCCCGAAATTAGTTCGTAAATCTCCGCTACGAGCCGCCACTTTCCTTATCGAGGTCGTGGTACGACTCAATAAGAGCCTTCTACTTGAAAAATGATTTATACAACAAATTTGATAAGTGCACTTAAAAAATGGTATTTTTAGCTTTCTATTTATTCATTAATAAATATCGTACATTAATTCCTTTCTATCCTATAAACGATTAAAGTAATAGTGATCCTTTCCGCTTTAATATTGAATATCTTGATAAAAATAAATCGCAATGCAATTTGCAAACATATAAATCATCATGCAACACGATTTCCAGAAGATACATATTTCCATAATTACAGAGAAGTTGAAAATTAGATTGCTAAATAAATTGGTTCAAAAGACAGACTGTTTTTTCGTCGCAGGATTCAACTTCTGGCAGAAAAGTAGGAAAAAGTCATTGCTTCCGAGGGCAAATACTTTGATTGATGTATTCATACATTTTGTTATTGAAATAAATGTTCAAAAAAATATAAAAAACAACGACTTTCAAGAGAAACAACGGCTAAGAGAAGAAAATTCATCGTTACAAAGCGTTACATGATTTCAAGAAAACAATAATATATTTAATGTTTTCTTGTTAGAAATAGAAAATCTGAAATTTATACTAGTTAAATTGGCAAATAAATTTGTGTAAGTTTTTATTTCCGTTTTTATCACCTTTAATTTTTTGTATCTTTATTATCTACCATCCATCGAAGTCCATCGAAGCTGCGTTCTTCGAGGAAACTGCATGGCAAATCTAGCTGATCAAAAACAAAAAACAAATTTCCGGCTTGGTTATAAAATTAAATGTGAACATATCGGGATATATGAGAAATATACATTTCTTTCTTGTGAACTAATGATGAAAAGTGATAATTACCCTTTTGAGACTCCAGGACTTTATCATTGTTCGAAATGATCCGTACACAATCCTTAGCACGGTGATGACGGCGCATGCAATTCCATGTAATATGTTCCCTATGTCATAAGATCAATATTATACACATCATTTCATGATGATTAAAATTTCTCCGTTTGATTCTGTCAGGTCATGCAATTTCTGCGATGTCGTGAAAAGAATTGCGAATCACAGAAAGCGAGACAACTTTCATATAGCGATCAGCCAGCTATAATAGAAAGCAAAAAATTTCATGAGATCGTGAAACGAAAGTCGAATTCAGATCGTCCTACATTGTGACATTTCGATATTATATTAATTGTCAACGAATGGCGATAACTTTCGCCATACAGCTTTCGTCATGTGTCTGGCCATCGCTATGTATGTCATCACTGGAGCGCTCAGCTTAATCCGACGAGTCTTGTCGACGATCGGCTCGTTTCTTTTAATCGTGCTGGCTAGAATAATCTTGTTAGTCGGCCGTATAGTGTCAAAGGATATCTCCAGACGTCGTGCTACCAGTGAGAGTTTGGAATTATACACGGATTCCGAAGACGATCATGGCATCACAAGTGAAACGTCCCTCGAGTTGAAGAATCTTCCTCAAAACTCGCCATCGAATTGACGAGTCACTCAAAGTCATACAGATTCTTGTCTTGATCTAACAAGTTCGGTAGTTACTGATCATGTCTAAATAAAGGACTAAAAAACGATGAAATATTTTAATTGATATTTGGACAATTTTTACTTATACTTACCGGTTTAAAATAAAACAAAAATGTTTTCCAAAAATTTCTACAAACGATTTGTAGAAATATTTGTACGTTTATTTTAAAGACGCACATATTCTTCTGCTCAATAATAATAATTTGAACGTCAATCGCTCGTAATACATGGAAGAGGTAATACGAGGGCAGTTTGATAAGTCAGTGACTTTGAATTTTCCGCGCAGTAACTTTAAATGCAGCACTGCTCCCGTCAACTGTCATCTATTAACAGACTACTGTACAAGTTTGGGCAAGCTGCGCCATTTAGTTAGTGTTTGACAGCCATTGAAAGCAGACAACTTCGTGAATTTTAACGAAAATGGAAAAAAGTGAATTTCGTGTGCTGATTAAGCATTATTTTTTGCGTAAAAAAACCATCACCGAAACCAAGGCAAAGCTTGATAAATACTATGGGGACTCTGCACCATCAATTTCAATGGTTAAGAAGTGGTTTACTGAGTTCCGTTGTGGTCGTACCAGCACAAGTGACGCCGAACGTTCAGGTCGCCCAAAAGAGGTCGTCACGCCAGAAATCGTCGATAAAATCCATGGAATGATATTGGACGATCGGAGAATGAAAGTGCGTGAAGTGGCTGAGGCTGTAGGCATCTCAACTGAGCGGGTACATCACATTTTACATGAATATTTGGACATGAAAAAGCTATCCGCGCGATGGGTGCCGCGATTGCTCACACTCGACCATAGGCGCAACCGTGTGACCATTTCAAAGGAGTGTTTGGCGATGTTCAGCCGCAATCCGAACGAGTTTTTGCGCCGTTTCGTTACCGTACACGGAACATGGATCCATCACACCACACCAGAGACCAAGGAACAATCAAGACAGTGGGTTTCTTCGGGTGAACGTGCACCAAAGAAGGCCAAGGTGGGTCTGTCGGCCAACAAGGTCATGGCCACAGTTTTTTGGGATGCACGCGGTATCATTCACATCGATTACCTTGAAAAGGGCAAAACGATCACCGGCGAATATTATTCAGAGCTTTTGGACAGATTCGATATTGATTTGAAGCAAAAACGACCGCATTTGGCAAAGAAAAAAGTGCTGTTCCATCAGGACAATGCACGGGTGCACACGTGTGTAGCCACCATGGCAAAAATCCATAAATTGGGCTACGAACTGCTACCCCATGCAGCATATTCACCAGATTTAGCCCCCTGCGACTATTTCCTGTTTCCAAACCTGAAGAAATGGCTGGACGGTAAGAGATTTGGGTCGATTGAAGAGGTCATCACTGAAACAAACGCCTATTTTGAGGGCATTGAGAAAACCTATTATTTGGAAGGAATAAAAAAATTGGAAAAACGGTGGACTAAATGTATCGAGCTAAAAGGAGACTACGTTGAGAAATAAAACGCTTATTTGCCGAAAAAAATATCTTTTATTAAAAAAGTCACTGACTTATCAAACTACCCTCGTATCTATTCAATTAAATAAAATATAATTAAATGATTGTATGAATGTGGTGTGATATGTAACTATTTCTCTAGTACGAATTTACGTATACTTAGAGCAAAACTAAGAAATATAGAATTTCAAATTTATAAAATTGGATGCGGTGAAAGATATGATCAAGAATATGTCACACACTTATTTACAGTTTTTTTAATAATTTAGTAACTATTCTTATGAAAATAGTTACATAATCATTGTATTTTTTATACGTAAATATATAAACTTTTACAATATATATTTTTCAATTATATAAATATTGTAAGCAATCTTAACTATGGAGGGTATAATTGGACGGAATATGTTATGTATCATAAGAAATATTTGCAGTAACTATGCTTACTATAAATCTTATCATTCGTCTTACATAAGTTTTCAATCATATATAAAACTTGTCTCTAAAATCTACTAATAAGAGCTATTGCAATGACAAATAAATTGTATGTCTTATATTTCTATAAAAGATTAATATCCTTTAAAAATCAATTAACATTCTTTAAAAATGACTTTAAAAACGATACGTCGATTAATGCGCTTTTTGCAAATTTTAAAAAAGGCAATGCAGTTACTGTCATGTGTAATTATGTAATTCTTTTATAAATTCATTGTGTGCATTAGTTTAGATATATGGTTGTCATATATCATTGCTCAGCACAAAGAATTACTTTGATTGCTTTGTCGCCTTGTCTCAATGTGTTAGACGCGAGAAAATTTGCAAATGTAAAGTATAACATTATAATGTACACATATTATATTTAATTAACAGGCATGGCTGATACTGCACTGTGAGGAGTTGTTGGTCGAGATCCAGCGATAGAATGAGTAGTCGACGCATTTAGAGATTGCATTGTACCAATCTAAAATCAAATACAATATGTTAAAAGCCTCTGAATTCCAGAAAGACTTTGCTTTTGTATGTGTAATGATTATAATATGAATATAATTTTTCTTTTACAATGAAGCAAATATATCATACCCGTAAATGAGCTAGATCTTCTAATCTTGTTAGGTCACATAGTTCAAGATATAAAGAATATACAATGAGCCAACCATATGCAGAAACACATACAAAAATGATCCACAGAAGGCACATCAAGATATTATAGGCAAATATCATATCGTTTACAATGCTGAAGAATAAAAAGGCAAATAATCTGAAAACAGTGAATATGGCAAAACTGTATAGCCATGGTACCATTTTCTTCTCATGTTCTTTTCGCAGAGCCCTGATCAATATTAAAGAAGTAACAAAGACAACTATCCCACCCAACATGGTGAACAATGCAAAAACAATCAGAGCATTTCGGACTGAAAAAAGAAAATGCAGTTTAATAATTTTATTAATTCTTATATTCAATTTTATTTTATATCTGGAAAAATTATATAATCACATGCAAAATTTTAGAATAAACTTACCGTGTTGATTACCCACATATACAAATTCATATGATAAGATATAATATCCATAGTGGGTTGAACCAGGTACGGCTTGTGAGAGACAATAGATATCAAAGATACTTGTACATATTGTAAAAAATGCCAGACACTGAAAAGATGTTTATCTTGTAATATAATTTGATAAAGAAATATTTAGATAAGAATTAATTTTATTAAATGAAACCTTACCAATGAAAATATGGCAGTGAACATAGCACCTCTTTGTATATCCAATACAAACGCATGTGTGACTATAGGTTTCTGATACCATGGAATTTTCACACTGCGTGCAGATCTTGACGATCTCAAGTTTGCACTGCTGCGAGTAGTCACATGGGAATACACAGATGGTGTTCCCATGCTGGGTGACTTCTTTCCATAATGCATTTTAACCCACTATCAAAGAAACACAGATATCAAATATCAAAAAAAGTACAACATATATGTCAACAATTTCATTTATACTTACAAATTATAAAATCCTTAAACGCTTAAACAATTTTGTAAGTTCCTTATATTTTACAAGGTGTTTGATATACACTTAATAATGTGTATTTTTTCTGAAAGATATGTAAACAACAAAGTAGTGAATAATGCAAGTAATGTTTGACATTTTAATGTCAAATGTTAAAATTGTCTTCTGTGCTGGATTATATTCTCCCGATAATTATATTACATTAAAAACTGTAAAGATCATGTCAATATAATAGTGTGATATAATTTTCATAGCAAATCTATATAAATATTACAAATGACTCATAGATATTTTGTTCCGTTTAATTTTTATGCTATAATACTAAAGAGGATACTTACAAACTACACGTACATTGTATGCAACTAGTGTATTTGTACAACAAAGCACGCACGAAAGATATGTAAAATATCACGCATGTTAAATCACACACAGTGGACACGCCTTATCAAAACATTCGAACCATTAGCTATTCGTCTGTGTGTAATCATTTCTGAACTAGTAGTGTTCAAGAAATCCAATGTCACCAATAGCATATATTAAAATACACTAGTGAATTAATTCTAGTGAAGTAGAAAGCTCAGTGCACTCGAAGTGCAGTAAGTGCCAGCAAGTGCGCATCTCTGGCGCTCGTTAGACGAATTTCTTTATCAATGGAATCATAATAGTACTTATTCTTGTTTGATGGAATTATTTAATTAGGAACTAAGAAAACCAAAAAAATATAATTTGTAACATCAATTTAGGTCCAATGTTTATATATAAATTCATCGTGAATTCAGCGCTCAATATGTCAAGTAATAATAGTTGCATCCGACACACATGCAAGTGATGTATTAGCATTTGCATTTGCATAGATGTGCACAATAGATAGAAGCGCTATTTCTTATTCTTATTGTGTGATACCACCAAAGTCAATTTGGGATTTGCTCTTTTGGCTCCTAAAAATCTTAATTCAATTTAAATTGTAAATAAAATATATGAAACTACGTAGTGTGAATATTTTAAAATCCATTATATTAAAAAACAGGTTGGTATTTTTTATATTTTTCGAGAGAAAAGCAGAATTTTGAGAATGTGATATATTTTGGTTTCAAAGAGAAATATATTTTATTTATAAAATTATATTCATAATATTATCTTTCATATATTACTTTTCACCTTTGAGCCTTTTGGAATGTTATCTCACTTATGTTGACATTGCACATCTGAAACCTAAGTTTCCAGCTGACGTGTCGGGTGTATTTTGACTACGTGCAGCACATCTGTATCTATGGCAATAATTTTTATGACAAAGGTAGGAACCACCTTTTTTAACTTTATTGGTACCGCTAGGTGGACCAGTCTGAAAAAAATTTAATAATTAGTTTATTATAATACAAATACTTATTTTATTACACAATACGTGTGATGTAGGTCTCAATTTCATAAAAATATTTACAGGGTTTGACTGCTGATCATGTGAGTGATTTGTCATCCACCAATCAGATGTCCATTCCCAAACATTTCCAACAATATTGTGCAAACCATATTTATTTTGTGGAAATGTTGTAACTGGTGATGTACTTTTATATCCATCTTCCATAGTGTTTCTTAAAGGAAATTCACCTTGCCAGATATTGACCCTAATAAATGTTAAGACAAATGTTAAGACATTGCATACAATATAATAAAAATTACAGAACATGCATAAAATAAGTTTAACTGACTTATGTTGATCCTTTGGCATTATTTTATTTCCCCAAGGATAGTGTCTATCAGAAATATTACCACGACAGGCAGCTTCCCATTCTGCTTCAGTTGGTAATCTCTTCCCCAGCCAACTGCAATAAGCAGTTGCATCGTTCCAAGAGACATGAACAACAGGATGATCCATTCTGGCTAAATATCTTTTAGTTAATTAATTTCTTAACTTGTTATAAGACAGTTTTATGAATCATAGTCTTAGGAACAAAGTGTTACAAATTCTCTTTCTTTTAAATACTTACAGGTGATATTCGAGTCTGGACCTTCTGGATGTTGCCATGTAGCTTTCTTCACAGGTAACCACCAAGGAGCTTCCGCAACTGCTTGCTTAATCGTGTTTTTTGTATTTTGCGACAAAAGACCTTCGAAGACGAAGGAATCTCCAAAACGTTCTGCTTCTGTTGTATACCCAGTGGAGCTTACAAAAGCTGCGAATTCTTCATTGCTCACCTCATATTTATCGATATAAAAACTATCTAACAGTACTTCACGTTTTGGCCCTTCTCCGTCAACTACGAAAATCGGATTGTTTGTTCCCACAAAATATGTACCGGCAATAATTTCGACCATTTTTCCCGTTTGCTCATTGTTTGTGTCATCAGTCGTGATCACTTTAGAATTATCTATAACACAATATTCTTCCTTATGGGGAATGAAACTGAGTAGCCGGTTCAACTGTTTACCACAATGACAGTTATCTTTCATAGCACTCACAGCCAAGTAGCAGTAGCCAAATATTGTTAACACTTTGTACAAAGGTATCATTTTTGTTGAAAGACCGAGTTCACTGAGTTATATTCTATATCGTTCAACGTCATACAATCACAATCATGATTACATCATTATCAGTAAAAATTTCTCCTTTCTTTCTTTCTTTCTTTCTATAGCTGGGGAAAGTGGATATCCCCATACGCCATTCCTTAATTATCAGTAAAAATATAAAGAAACAGGTAACACTGCAAATAATATTTTCGAATTGACAATTGGTCGCTTGAGCGTTCTTCTTTCTTATTGGATATTATTGGATCTTATTGGATCAGATAAAAACGGTATGATATCCGCGGTGACAGATATACCATTGATGTCAAATGGACTTAACCTTATTTTATACCGTGTTACACTCAAAATTTACAAGCAGGCAATTATCTGCTTATACATCAGTATAAAATTGATTACTATTGACTCAAGTTAGAAATTTTATGTGGGCAGCTCTCAATTGGCCGTTTGCGTATATTTGCAGCGAAATTTGAAAATTGTTTCAACTACAAATTGTACACCGGACTTTAGCTTCGTAAGAAGGGATAACGTCAAACTACTAATCAGCCGTTGCCCGCCACGTACAATTTGTCAGTTGCATGCTTGCTCCGTCGAAACAACACGGATAGCACGTGAAGAAACAGGCTCTCGGTTTTACATGACAATTTGTTGAGAAAATGGCAATTAACAAGCACTCTAAGTTGTTGGTCTGCGCGGCCGGTATATTTGTGTGCTATTTCTATTTTGGCATGCTGCAAGAGAAGATAACCCGCGGACAATACGGCGACGAGAACAATAGAGAGAAGTTCACGTATATGTTTGCGTTGGTCTTTGTTCAATGTTTAGTTAATTATGTATTTGCCAAAACTATCCTGCTGACGGTGATGAAGCAGGGCGAGGACACCACGTCGACTCTATACTACTTTATCTCTTCATTGACATATCTGCTTGCTATGGTGTGCAGTAACATGGCATTGAAGTTTGTCAATTATCCAACACAGGTGATCGCAAAGTCTGGCAAGCCTATTCCTGTGATGGTACTGGGTGTACTGCTGGGAAAAAGGGTATGAAATCTGTTTGATAAGTCATCTATGGTTTCTGCAATAATTTCTATAGATCAGCAATTTTTTTATCATTTTTAATTGTGATTTGATTTATAGGTATATCCAATTAGAAAGTACTTATTCATTTTTCTGATTGTTGTTGGAGTTGCATTGTTTATGTATAAAGATGGTGTCGTCTCAAAAAAGCAATTGGAAGAACAATCGTCAGTTGGAGAATTGTTACTATTGTTATCGTTAACGATGGATGGACTAACAAGTGCAGTGCAAGAGAGAATGAGAGCAGAGCATAATACAAAATCAGGCCACATGATGGTCAATATGAATATCTGGTCTGTTATATTTAGTGGCATCGTAATCCTCATTTCTGGGGAACTCTTTGAATTCATCAGTTTCCTTCAACGATATCCTTCCACTATATGGCACATAACAACATTTTCTATAGCTGGGGCATTTGGCCAATACTTTATATTTTTAACAGTAGCTGAATTTGGTCCATTGCCATGCTCAATTATAACCACTACTAGAAAATTCTTTACTGTTTTAGGCTCTATATTAATCTTTGGTAACAATCTCACACCTAGACAGTGGTTGAGTACATTTATAGTATTCTCAGGTCTGTTTCTAGATGCCACATATGGCAAAGATAAAAGTAAAAAAGGAACTACAAATTAGGATATAATTACCTTTCCGATACTTGCTTCAAAGACAGAGAGGAATGATATATACTTCCACTGATTAAGTTAATACCTATCTCTAAAAGTAATTTATGATGTATTAGGAACATTCTTATTAGGAGCTCTGACAATAGGTTCAAAAAGCAAATCATAGCATTAAATTGATATATTTCCCATTTATATTTTTTGCAAATGGTAAGATCAAGTTCTAATGATCTTTAGGAATATGTTGTCACATAAAAGGTTTTGTATGAACTTTTCTACAATTGCATAAATTCAGTGCAAAAGTATAAAAGAATATAAGAATATATTTATTAATATTTTGTCATTTAATTTTTTTTATTCTATGATGTTGGTTTTTGTAAATGAAATTTAATTGAAGATAAACCTTTCTCTCACTGACATAAATTATGTTTCTTTATATTTTTTTTAATATATAATTTATGTTTAAAGACTGTCAAGGATTAACAGAAGAAAAATAAGCAAGGTATATATCTATTATATATCATGAGTAATATGTAACTTGCATTATATATATATAGTTAATATATATATATAGATGTGTATATAATACTAGCTGAAATTGTACAAAACAAGATAATGCAACTGCACAAAGAGACAATAGTAAACAAACCTTCCATTTATTAAAAAAGTACAATTATATTTGGTTAACTTCTATTATATCATTAGTCTATTGCCAGTGATATCTTGTTGTTTTCTAAGGATTGATTTACATATGATATATTGACCATTTTACATTTAATTTAACATACATTTGTTATATATCTCATTGATAGATCTTATATTTGATTCTCGCCGCTCTTTCAACAATATCGTGTATGAACAATTAAATATTTAAATAAGATATTTTCTATATATGTTATTTGAACAAATAAAAATAATAAACTACAAGATGGTTGTGAAAATAAAGCAAAGATTCTTAATGGTAGGTGTACAAGTCAATCGTATGATTACTTGTATAATAAGCAATACAAACTTCACGCTCTTTTGCGCAATTTATCACTTTGTATGAAATGTATCTATTGTATTTAATAGCATTGAACAAGTATTGTCAATAACCTTGATTTAATGTTAAGGTTGACGTTAAAGTATTTGGCCTACTTTCGCCATTGACGACATAGGACGACATAGGAGGGTGCAGCGAGGAGTGTGCTTGCTTGCGAGTCGCGAGCACAAGGGGTTGACGCGAGTTCGACGAAAAAAAACATGCTATAATTAATCGCTAATCGTTAATCGTCAATACTATATACTTGAGCAAAAAATATAGGTCTATTTAGCTATACTACAGCGGACAGTTCTTTTTGCAGTTCTTCCACTTCTTTCTCATACATTCTATATTCTCTTCAAGATAAAGTGAGTACTTGAAATTGAAACCACACATACGCGAGACTGTTTTTTCAGCTGCAAAAACGCTTCGAATAAATCTGTAAATGGAAAGAACGATACGATAACAAATTCCCCACAAACTAAGAACCAAGGTCCATCTTTCTCGGCTGCATTATGTCATGTTAAAATTGTATTAAAAATTGTGCTCTGGATAAAGAGGAAAGAAGAAAATTTCAAAGAAGAGCGCATAAAGTACACCTAGCAAGAACCGACTTGAACACCTCGATTATCTCGATGACCGTATCGATCGATCGAAGGTCAATCGCGTCGCGGATCGGAGCGGAGCGAACTCGTGTCCTCGGAAGTGTCCTCGGTTCGCGGCGACGGTAGTCAAGTCGCCTGTCGGGCGCGTCACGAATTGTCGTGGATGAGTTCGTCGCGCGTTATGCACCCCGATGCATTATCCACGAGGAGAGGCACGAGTGCACGACGCGTGAACGCGCATCGCGCGTGCGATGAACGCGATTACTTAAGGCTCGTTACGTTTGGCTTTTATCGCGGTAAGTGCTGCAATGTGAGTTACGCTGTGATATATTCGTTACGTTTGACTTTTATCGTGGTAAATGAAGCGCGTCATATCCCCACGATCCGAAGACGTTCGGACTCGTTTCTCCTCTAGTTGCATCACATTGATATACATCTCGTGATATCGTTTAGAACAGAGAAAATATATATATATATATATATATATTTGGGATTTTAAAGGTATAAAGAAACCCGAAGAATCGCATACAAGTCAATACAAGTAGAATAAGTGTAGCCAGAAGGAATTCGTGGTATTCCACGACAGACAATAATTTTGATGTTATTGCAGCTGGTTAACGTAATCGTCAACGAGACAGTAACCCTTCCTATCCATTCCTCTTCGTCATTCTCGATGTTCAATCGTGATTCGGCTGTATCATAGAACGTCGACGATGAAGGAGAAGGTTAACTCACCACATGACATCGCGTATGACAGACTATCAATCTTCCCGCCGATTTCGAACCCCTTGCATATCCTTGATTGACGACCGTATCGAGTGAATTTAACACGACAAAGATGAGCATATTCGAGAATGGAATAATATTGTGGTATTTCCGCGTTGAATTACACGTCGTTCGCATTGTCTGCGTGCATTCCGCGTAAATCAGCATGTTGCGCACCGAAATACGAAACGCATCCCTGGGACACAGCGAAGCTTGTTTTTGCTAAATTTCCCAACATATCCTTATGATTTTTATAGGCTCGTGTCTCTATTCATTTCAGTTGGCACGATATGTCGGAGCAAACGTGACGGATTGATAGGAATTATGGTGTAACTTAAGCACGATCATAACAATCACAATTGCTCAGGCTATAGTATCTTTCAGTGTGATTACATGGTAGCTAATGGATAAAGATGATTGTCAAGAACAAATCTTGCCGAATAGTAAGTATCAAAGATATTTTTATATATGTTAGTGTTGTATATTCACTGCATTATTTTTATTTCATTTTACATTGCAATTATTCCTTAATGAGCACTATAAATTCATTAGAGTTTATAGTAGTATGTACAATCTGACTATGAAGTTATTCTCGATGAAACTGCCAATTTTGCACCATGCACAAAGAATAGAAAAACTTAGTACAGAGACTTTTTATCCGATGGATTTATCTTATCCTTATTGCACACAGTTTTTAGTAGTTTTCCTTTTGTGATTACGTAATATGTTTTAGAATATGTTCTGGACATAAATCTCAAGTCCAAATACATTGATATCATTTACAAAGGAAGTTTAATTGCAGGAAACTTAAAATATTAATATCACACCTGTTATGTTAATTGATTTGTAGTTTTCTCTGAGTTTTTTTTTTTCCTTTTCTTTCCATTAGTGCACTACTTAAGTTAAAGTGAGTAGGGGCTCTATATCATGCCAAAATGGCAATTGGAAATATTATCTGTGGTGCAAATACACCCAAAGTGAAGAAAAAGAAAATTAAGGTATCTCTTTGTTATTAAGGTTGCTTGTTATTATTTATATGTTAATAATATTTGTCTTGATGCTAATCATCATTATCATTCCACATGATATTGTATTTAATACAATGTCGTTGTTTACTATAATATAATATAAATAAAGTAATATTGCATTAAAATATCATATCAAATTTGTATTATTTGTGAGGTTAATATATATTTATTTCATAATTACAATTATTATATATTTGTATGTTTCTCAAATTATAGGCAACTGAACGCAGTTGGATAGAAGCAACATTTCAAAAGAGGGAATGCTCTAAGTTTATACCAAGTGCAGAGGATGAACATAGGTAGGAATTCTGTATTAAATAACTGTGAAAAAATGTAAAAGATACTCAATAATGTGTGCTTGCCGCATTAAAGATTGCATTGTAGAGTTTTGTATTATAGAGAATTTTCTCTGATACATTATAATATTGTAATAAAAATATTTAATCTAACTAATCTTTTTTAGAAAAAGATAAAATGGAGCGTGTGCTATAGAGTTTGGTATATCATTAAAATAGCATCTAAGATAAAAAACTAATGTTTATAAAAATTTATTATGTCTTACATCAGTCAGTCTCTTTAACTTTTTTCTTGCATTTGCTTATGTTTAGTCTGATGCTTTTTTCATCACAACTCTTATTTCCATTTTATTAACATCAACAACTTTAAGAAATCTAGATATTCATATTCATGATCATAATTTCTTTACTCGCTCACGTACTCATTTTTATTTGATTGACTTTTCTTTGTTTCATTTACGTTTGTAGGTTTGTACAAGTACAGGGAGATAAGAATGCAGAATATGATGTGATCACTACTTCCAGGTGAGAGATTCGCGTACATCCTGCATTAAAACCTATTACTTCGATAATTTTCTCAATAATGGTATCAATCTGAAATAACATTCTTATGTATCAAAGATTTATGGGTGTGTGGATACATAACAAAATCATATTCATCCTGCATTATGTCATCATATGAGGTGCTTATACACGCTTAATCATGTTTAATTAAATTCCATCTACATTAAGCATAGCATTTCTTGACATGTCTGATTCCATCCCATATAAGTTTCTCTTTCATTTATCATAAAAAGATATAAATATGAGAATTACAAATGTTGTCACGATATATATCAAACTCTCTTGTGCTTTATAGCATACGCATAATTATATAAACAAGATATGAAGTGTTACTAAGTAATGCTGGTATAAGTATGGATATTTATTTCAAGACATTATTATAGATGCTGCTGTGGCAACTCGTACACGCATCATTGTGGAACTGGGGCGGATGTTCAGAGTTACAATGCTGGTGACACCAAGGAGAAAGATCGAGAACAATGGTCTCCAGGAAAGAATACCCATCCCTTCCCCACTGATGCATATGGTACCATAGAATTTCAGGGAGGTCCACATCCAACAAAAGCACAAGTATACTTAATGTCTTTTACACATTATCTCCGTTACGTTGTTATATATTATAATTATTACGAATGTAACGTTATATTATTTACAGTATGTGAGATTGGCTCATGATACGCGGCCGGAACCGATTGTGCAATTATTATGTCGAGAATGGAATTTAGGCTTACCCAAATTGTTAATTACGGTTCACGGCGGCCGATCGAACTTCGAACTTCAGCCAAGTTTGAAGAAAGTATTGCGTAAAGGTTTATTGAAAGCTGCCAAAACAACAGGGGCATGGATATTCACGGGAGGAACAAATACAGGTTTACTTTTATGAGTGAAAATGAATGAATAGAAAACGATGTATGACGTAGCACAAGCAGAAACCTCGCAATATTTTTGATTCTCATAGGTGTCACGAGACAAGTCGGCGATGCGTTACTATTGGAACGTTCTCAACGACAGGGCCGTGTTGTGAGCATAGGCATTGCTCCTTGGGGAATTTTGGATAAAAGTCATGAGTTAATTGGTCGTGGTGGAGAAGTGTCGTATGATTGCGTTTCCTCACCATGGTATAAAACTATTTTATACATAACGATTTACTATCAACAAATGTATCTTTTATGAAATCTTAAAAGTATATTTTTCGTACATGGTTTTTTCAGGACAAAATATACAGTATTAAATAACCGACACGCTTACTTCTTATTAGTTGACAATGGCACTGGTGGTCGGTATGGTGCAGAAATTGTCCTCCGTAGAAGATTAGAGAAATATATCTCAAATTTGAAGCTGCAACCATGTAAATGTCACGACGATAATGTCTAAGAGTCAAATTTCTGTAGCTCCAAGGTCTGATTCGTCGTATCTTTCAGATACACACAGCAGCATACCTGTGGTTGCATTAGTCATTGAAGGCGGTACGAATACAATTCGGGCAGTCTTAGAGTATGTGACAGATGATCCGCCTGTACCTGTTGTAGTTTGTGATGGTTCGGGACGTGCTGCCGATTTAATCGCTTTTATGCACAAGTAATGGCAAATTTACTTTGGTCTCATCTATACTTAAAAGGGAAAGTGAAATTATAAGCATGTATATTTATGAGATATGCATTTTATATATAGATGGAGGGATGGGCAGACTGGTGATGGAGAAGGGCCACTGGAAGGTGTCAAGGAACAAGTTTTAGAAACCATCAAACGTACTTTTCAAGTTTCTGCCGAACAGGCGAGTCAGCTCTGTTCGGAACTTTTGCAATGTACACGAAAGAAACATTTGGTATCTATATTTTTTTATGTTTTGATTTTTGAATATGCTCGGAACTTCTTTAAATGACGTTTGTCTTCGCAGATCACTGTATTCAGGATATCGCAGGATAGGCCGCAAGAACTCGATCAAACCATATTGACAGCTTTGTTTAAGTCGAAACAGTTGTCCCCGGCTGAACAATTATCTCTTTCTCTAATATGGAACAGGGTAGATATTGCCCGGAGTGAAATATTCGTGTATGGTCAAAAATGGCCACCTGGTGCTTTAGAACAGGCTATGATGCAAGCGCTTCAGCATGACAGAATAGACTTTGTGAAACTTCTACTGGAAAATGGCGTATCCATGCGGAAATTTTTATCAATACCGCGTCTTGAGGAGCTGTATAATACGGTAGGTCAACTTTATTTCTGTAGCGAGTGTAGTTCCTTAGTAAACAATTTAAATATGGATACAAAATACCCTCTATTACCTAGTGTGAGATAGAGAAGAGAGGAAGATGATCGGCGTTTGTGATAGACCTATATATCCTTCTTTTAAATTTACTTCTAGACAGAGTTTATTGAAAGAGAAACAGGAGATTTGTTATGAAAAATATGGCGAATTATGTCGCATATTATATCTTGACAAGCGCGTATATTTGTAACAATAAGACACATTGTGATCCTTGTCTGGACATACATTAGCGTTTGCTCCTTTAATGAATAGGAAACTAAATTGCTCAAGTAATATGCTTAGAGGAAAATATATTAAACAAATCTTTTTTCTCCTCCAAATGGATTAATTAGAAAGAAGGCCCATCGAATACGTTAGGCTACATTCTGCGCGACGTACGACCAAATATACCACGAGGCTACATGTATACGCTGCACGACATCGGTCTAGTGACCAACAAACTGATGGGTGGAGCATATCGCGCGCAATATACACGCCGAAGGTTTCGCATGATCTACACGAAAGTGATGAAGAGGTCTGGTGGCGGTCATCAGCAGCACATGCATCGGAACAGCTGTGTCGTGAATTGCAATACGCGCTATTACGCAGGTTCCGCAGGGAAGTCCGACAGTCTGACTATGAGTCTACTCGCCGAAACATTACCAGCTAATCGTGACACTCCCCTTTTTGATTACCCCTTTAACGAGCTGCTTATTTGGGCTGTATTAACGAAACGCCAACAGATGGCTTTGTTAATGTGGCAGCATGGAGAAGAAGCATTGGCCAAGGCACTTGTTGCGCTCAAATTGTACAAAGCTATGGCACACGAGGCGGCCGAGGACGATCTGGAGACCGAGGTTTACGACGAATTGCGCGGTTATGGCAAAGAGTTTGAAAATATCGGTACGATTCCAGGATTTCTTTAAAATACCCACCTCAATACCATGTCATTACAAAGATAATACGTTTGATAATTAACGTTAATCATGATATCAAATCATAATGTTAAATCTTTTTCCTTGCTTTTTTTTACTGCAGCCCTCGAATTATTGGATTATTGCTATCGACAAGATGACGATCAAACTCAGCAGCTGTTAACTTCAGAACTGCAAAATTGGTCGGGACAAACGTGTTTGTCCCTGGCAGTTACAGCAAATCATCGACCATTGTTAGCGCATCCTTGTAGCCAAATTATTTTGGCTGACTTATGGATGGGTGGCCTTCGTACTCGTAAAAATACTAATTTAAAGGTATTCTCTATAACTTATGTAACTTTAATTCTTAACCGACTGATTGATTCACAAATTGAACGATTAAGATGCAATATTGAAATGTACTTTTAGGTAATTATGGGATTGCTCTTTCCTATGTACATAGCACGATTGGAATTTAAGAGCAGAGAAGAACTGCAACTGATGCCACAGACACAAGAGGAACACTTGATAGCTTTGGAAGATGAGAAAGAAGACAGTGACTCCGAACACGGTGTATCAGCAGGACCAGACGTTGAGGTAATTATTTTGTATTCTAGGAACCTATAATGGCATTTTATAACGCTTCTTAACAAAAAAGATTTCAGATATACTTAATTAACAATTACATCATGATCTTTTTTATGCTTATTTTAAAGGTCGCAATAACTTGGTAACTGACAATGAACGTTTGTAATATTATAGATTGTCCTAACCAAATGTGAAACACTTGTCTGATTTGATACATCTATTTATTACTTGAAAAATAATATAAACATTATGCATTAGCTGCGAGACTTTAACAACTTTCCCTTTTGGAAACCATAAATGTGACTAACGAAAGTAATAAGATAATAAGATGGTTGCTGGTTTTGCGAGGTTTCCTCTCTAAAATTGTACATAAACGTATACACATGTAGCTTCTAACGAATATTCACTTAGGTAAAACATATTAATACATGGTCCATTCAGCTTATATATTTTATTTTAATGGAATTATACGTCATTTCTCATCATTATGGTTAAATCAGTATAATCTTGACTTTGATTTTGGTTTGCTTTGATATCTGCGTCATTGATATATCCACTATTGCATCACATCGTAATTGCTGGATTAAGGGATATTACCGTTGATATATACATGTGTTCTCTGAAAAATTAATCTCTATTAAGGGTGTATTGATTTAATTGTAACATATAGACTATGTGGGTATGCGTGTTAATTATTTTTTAGAAACGTCTGCGCAGGAGCCTGAGCATACGCAACAAACCCAGCAGCCAACCAGGCGTTAAGGTATATCTATACTGGCCTGAACGCAGTGATCCTATACAATAATCTCACACTCTCTGGTGCACTCTTAAGCTACCTTTTTATTTATTTGATCTTAGTTTTCATCAGTCATAGTCACATCAGTCCAATCACACAGTATTGTTTCACATGCATTATGACATTCATATTTCAAAGAATAATAAGAATAATAAGATAGTGAGATAAATTTCTTCAGATGTTGAAAGTTTAATAGCTTATCACGGTGATATCTGTGGTATAAATAAGTATAAATTTATCATTATTATACATAATGAATTGATGAAACGACTCTATTCATTAAACATTAAATTTATATATATATATATATATATATATATATATATATATATATATATAGACTATGTAGATATATGAAAAAGAAAATATTAATTTTATCTTATTAATAATTCCATATTTTTATAAGTTCTATAAATATATTTAATATATACACAATTATTTATATCTAGCTCATTAAATTGGATCTCATATGTGAAGATGATATATTTTTCCTTTTATTAAAAAAATATATATTAAAGTATAATTTAGATCTACACTATGTAGTAATCCTATATTATAAAAATATTTATGTATTTTTATTTAATTACCAAAAAAATGTTACTTTTATCATGTACATACATATTATGAAAATATGTTACAAATCTCTAATCACAATCCCTTCTCTTTATAGATAATCTTTACTTCTTTCCAAAATACAATATTGAATACTATGTAGAGAAATTGAGGCTGAGTTGTAATTAAAATCTTTTTCTTTCTGAAAAATTTTATTATGTATCTTCTTGAAGCTTACTATAATTTTTTCACTTGATCTGCAATGCAGATTAGTCTGGTATATTTATGAAGAGTAAAAAAAACGTGGATATATGAGTTTGTAAATTTTATCTTTATGTTTACTTATTAGTACAAATTTTTAGATTGAATACCTACAAGTATATATTTTTTTATTAAACGTTAAGATATCATACCTATCAAAATGCAAGTTTTTTTTATATTTATGAACGAGACTTACGAACTATCCAATTACAGTCTACAGAATATCTCTATTACCTGTCACGCTATCTCTTTAGTGAATAATTATACCGAATTCAATTTCTTTCCTTTTTCTTTTATTTTTATCAAACATTTGAAGCCAATATCAACATCCATTCAAACATGCACTGAGAAATTTACCTGATTTTATGTATGTTACTGTCCTTTCCAGTATACAAACGATTCATTCGAATAGTCGTAAATTCTTCTTTGTGCTTTTCGATAGGCTTTGATTAGCAACGAGCACTGTACCGCAATAATAAAGGAAACAATTGTCCAAGAGAATGGGAAAGTATTAACGGACCACGACGACGGTATTCATCGCGCTTATGGTATTCGATCTGAGTACTATGATAATAAAACAACCAGGCCATTAAGATTAAAAAAGAAGCTATACGAGTTCTATACTGCACCGATTACGAAGTTTTGGGCGAACGCCGTGAGTATCTGCTGGTAATATTTGTGTGTCATCTGTTGATGTTGGGATCGATGTAGTGATGGAAATGTAACATTGTTGCAGATAGCGTACATTGTTTTCTTACTTTTCTTCTCGTACTGCATCCTCGTACACATGGACGATCATCCGTCATTAGCCGAAATATATGCAATCGCGTACATCTGTACGCTCGGATGCGAGAAAGTGCGCGAAATCGCAACTTCAGAACCGGCGACGCTCTCGCACAAGTTTAGCGTGTGGGCGTGGAACATGTGGAACCCGTGTGATGCAGCCGCGATAATATTTTTCCAAATCGGACTAACTTTACGTCTGCGACAATCGACTCTAGATGTAGGTCGTGTCATATATTGTGTTGATTGCATCTACTGGTATTTACGAATACTAAACATCCTTGGTGTCAACAAATATTTTGGTATGCTTAATATCAACTAGAGCAACTTAGCCGTTCGTTTTCGCGCGCGAAAATCTGCGTAGTCGATGTTACGAAAAGAGACAAACTGCAGTATTTCATAAATACATGACGGAGATTATATGTTCAATTGCATTCCATAGGTCCTCTGGTAACTATGATGGGAAAGATGGTTAAGAACATGATATATTTTGTTGTGCTTTTGCTAGTCGTACTCATGAGTTTCGGTGTGGCAAGGCAAGCTATATTGCATCCTAATTCGGAGCCGAAGTGGCGTATAGTACGAAATGTACGTATATACCTTCTTTTGTGTTTCTTCACATTTCTTACAAGTCTTTAGTTTGAATTCGTGAAGTGTATAATCTGATCGTGCTCTCTGCTTCGTTCGTTAACAGATATTTATGCAGCCGTACTTTATGCTGTATGGAGAAGTATACGCGGACAATATAGATCCGGATTGCGGGGACGAGCCGGGAATGATTGCGTGCCTTCCAGGTCGTTGGATCACGCCTGCTGCAATGTCCGTGTATCTTTTAATTGCCAATATTTTGCTCATAAATCTGTTAATTGCGGTATTTAACAATATTTTCAATGAGGTGAATGCTATAGCTCATCAAGTCTGGATGTTCCAACGCTTTACCGTCGTTATGGAATATGAACAGAAACCAGTATTGCCGCCACCACTTATAGCGGTTTGCCACATATATTTACTGCTGAGATATTTTCTGAGGCATATTACGCAAAATAAAGGAGGCACGGGTGAGACCTGCGACAACGGGCTGAAGTTGTTTCTGGAGCCCGACGACATGGAACGATTGTATGATTTCGAGGAGGATTGCGTCGAAGGCTACTTCCGCGAACAAGAGCTCAAGCTGCAAATGTCCACGGAGGAGCGTGTGAAGATCACGACGGATCGAGTGGAAAATATGCACCAGAAGATTGAGGATATCGATAAGAAAGAAAGCAATCAGAATGCATCTCTTCAGGTAGCGCTGATAATTATACTCCTTATTAACAAATACATTTAACGGAAAAAGAAACATCTTAACATTATCCTCTTCGTCTCGTTTATAGGCAGTTGAATTCCGCATTCGCAAGCTGGAGGAGCTGAGTCAGCAGACTCTAGCGCATCTCGGGGTGATACATCGTTTCATGGCGACGTATATGCCGAACGAAGGGCTAGCCGGTTTGGAACTGGATGTACGACAACGTCGAGTGTCCGAGCGTTCGGAAGCTTTCTCCGAAGCGGATTCGCACACACAATTGCCGACGGTGGCGCGACGTAAAAGACTGCTGCGATCATTCACCGACGCCACCTTCCTGAACGTCGGCCCGCCGGTGGAGGACGACGGCTTGAAGATGTCCGAGACCGTGACTTCCCGCGAGAATCTCAGTAGAAATTCTTCGGTGAGCGTGGACGTTCCGGCCGTGCAAGATGACATCAAAACTATGACGAGTGTGGAGACTGAGGGTAGCAAGGATGTGCTCGAAGGCGGCGATGGAGTGGCGAAGAAGGAGACATTGTCCGAAAAAGCAATGAGTCACGAAACCAGCAGGGAGGTGAGCAGAGAGGTAAGTCGGGAGGTCAGCATGGAGACCAGCAGGGAAATCAGCAGAGAGCAGAGCAGAGAGCAGAGCAGAGAGCAGAGCAGAGAAGTCAGTAGAGAGACCAGTCGAGAAGCCAGCAAGGAAGCCAGCAGTGAGAATCCACCGTCGGACATTAGGCAAGATTCCACAGAACGTCCTACGCTTAGACAGAACAGCAGAACCAGGTCGGAGTCGGACGACAACATGCTCCTGCCGCCACCTGGCATTCAGAGAGCCGTGACTTGGGCGGAACCTCGCGTCGCCGTGATTCCGTCGTCCGTCACGTCTGCCGGTAGCGCCCAAAGGTCGATCCTGCTGACGATGCGCGCAGAGTATACCAGCATAACAGACGAGCTCGAGAGCTATTGCGGGCTTTTGAGTCCGCCTCGAACACCTCCAGTTTCACCGCCACCATCGCGCGTCCGCAACATGTCAGACATTTCGAATCCCGAGATGGCATGGCAGATCGAGAATGAGCACCTTCGCGACGCCGAGGAGTGCGATTATCAGCAGATGGAGGATTTGATTCAGCGGCGGTATCGGGAGGACGACAATGACGACGACGACGACGACGATGACGACGAGGGTGGTGGTGACGATGACGAGCAGCCACCGAACGCGCCGGATGAGGCGGGCGTTGCTTGTTTCTTCAGCGTGTCCAATGACCATCATCGTCAACTGCACCGTTCCTCCGCGATCGACGAGGACTCGCGCAGACCACCGCCGACCATCAGCGTTACCAGAGAAATCGAACAAACGCTGTCGCGGCCTCCGATACGCGAGTCGGAGACTGCCGATCCGAACGACAAGAATCTGAGCACCGTACCTGCGCCTGCTTCGGAAACCATGTGCTGAGCGAAGCGAGGCGCGTTGTCTGTTTTCTCCGAGAGTTCTGGAAAGTACACATGATTTGTCGTGCGATCTGAGGGCTTTTAGAACCGATATAGCTGTCGGTTATCGGTTTAGTGATTATATTTTCGCTGTCGGATATGGCATATTCTCGGTTATCTCATTTTCGACGGTAATGCACTACGTTCCGGATACTCGACGATTATCAGCGGTTAGATTTGGTTTCCAACGATCATCTATCCGATGGCCATCCGATGGACACCGAACTACACGTCATCCTTACGTAACGTAGTTACGCATCGATACGTATATTAGACGGTCGCGGGATATTTTCTTCCGTGATTCTTGACTTAGGGGGATCTATATCGAGCACACGACGCTCATAAGTATGCGAAATCATTTCGCACGCATGGCCTAAGTAGTACATTTTTTAGTGAACTAAGTGATCATATTATATACATTTTACGTGTAATAATCGTGTGTGATTTTTATCGATTTTTATATTATATTATTGCGTCAATGCTTCTGATCTTCTATAGTGAACGAACGACGCGTTGCGATTATATCTCTCTCCCTCATATATTGATCTTTTAATGTATTATTACATAGAGCACACCGAGAGAACGTCGGATTTGGAATTCTTTTTGTGCACTGTCTCAACGAGTCGTTTATCGTATCTCTGTCCCAGAATTTTATCAAATGCATCGAATTACATGAAAGTCGTATGGTGTACTGTGTTCTGCAGAGAAAGTTACGTTGTCTCTACTTGTGTCCACCACGTCTGATGCATTCTGTGCATTCGAAGTCCTTCCATTCGGTAGATTAACGTAATTTCGCAATTTTATATATGCGCACCTTTATTTTAGCAGATATACACATATATAATATATATTATTTTAGAGGATGGGATATCAAAGGCGCTCCTGTATAGAGTTATTATATCTATTGTACATAACTTACACAATGATACTTAATTAGTCAGCGAATGAGTCACATCTTACGAATACGTCTGTGCTTGGTTCGAGAGTGTGACAAAATCCGAAATTTAATTTGTGAAAACTCGAGGCGCGCAGAGAAACCCGTGTTGAAGGTGCAGGCTCTCATCGTAATCGATCTCTAGATTTAAATACGTTGCCGCGGATTGACGCAGTGATGGATATTGCGTCTCAGGTGCGGCTTTATTATCCTTACTGCCGGATACTTCGATCGACTTTTTTGAGGTATATTTAGGGCCTTACAGAGCGCACTTTCAGCTGCGTCAGACTTTCACGGACCATTTATAAGAGCGAACCATATCACGCAGACACGTTCTAAACGAACTAAGCCAATCTGCGTTAGTACAATTGCAACTATCTAAAAGAAAACTTTGATACCTGTACCTAAAATGCCTAAATGTATAGAGAATATATATTGTGTGTGTAGTTGTTACATCACACAGAGGAGAGATGAGAGACGCGATGATTTTAAGCGTGTTCAGCAAACGTTCATGGTGTATAACTGTGAACTGATGTAGCAGTCGGTTACCAACTTGTTTCGAGTGCTAGCAACTTTCTATATTTTTCTGTCTAGACTAATTATTCTTGTATAATGTACCGTTGAACAGTTGAATATTATATTACAGCCACTTTCATTAAGTCCAGCCGTTACTTGTACGTGTATGTGTCAATGGCAGTTTTTATGTTGTGTACGTTCTCCCTGTGTAATTTCGACACGATCGATAATCCGAGTGTATCATTTCTTATTGTTTTACATTTGCATACATTTGAGATACCACAAACTTCACTAAATTTCATACACTTCAACTCTGCTTCAATTTGCTCAAACTGTCCGAATCAAAAAGAATTAATAATCTAGCGCGATATCATGCTTTGACTCGTAAACGAAGACTAAGTAATTTCTCAAAATACATATTATCCACTTATATATAAATTATCCTCGATCCTCGACGAAGGAGACTATTTGCTCCTTCAGGACGAGGTTTGAACGATTTCATTATCAATATCGATGTAAAATCACAAGCAATATTAAACATTTGTGCGACATACGGTCGCGATAAGATTATTATACATCGTGAACGATGTTTAATTGCGCAATAATTACATTCGAACACTTAATCGGGACAATATTAGTGTTGATACGGCATCGATTATGCTTTCATTAATTCCTAATGGGAGGGGAGAGGAACACCACCCGTAACGTTAATTTGTACATACAATTGTCGGATGGTCCGCCAACAAGTGGAATAATATTGCATTTTTATTATTCGTATTGTAGGGCCACGTAATTTTAATGTGTTTGCTAAATATATATTATGTAATGATATGTGCAACATAAGTACACACACACACACACACACACACACACACACACACATACATACATACATACATACATACACATGGTAAATAATTTGCTCAATTTTATTTTCATACACGCGACATAGATGAAAATGTTTTACGATATCGAAAGAGAAATGAAGAAGCGACAGCATATGTTCTCGATATGAATGTGTAAATAAATAATGCATATACGCAGCGACTAATACCAATTTTCGAGCACACACATATACACATATACACAAAATATTGAATAATAATGATAATAATACTAGCATTAATTGCAGCGATAATAATAGCATGTAATAGTGATAATACGTATACTCTTATTGCGTATTTATGCCGAATGTACTTTGAATATTATATTTCTTTATATTTCTTTATATTTCTTATGCACACATACGAATGTACATATTTACATTTGTACTCTGCTGCATAGATCTTTGTGTGTTTATCTCTCTGTTTTTCGGTGTAGAACCAATTCACGTTCTTCCTTTGTCGTACGTTGTGAAACGCAGACGCTAGTCATATGAAAGTCGTACAGTGAAAAAATACCATTGGACGATTCCGTGGGTGTGTTAAAGCAGATAAATCATATCACAATTGTTAACACGACTCTGAATTATGGGATATAACTTAACTTTCAACGAGACAGAGTGATGACGAGTAGCGCTCGAGCGAAACAAGCACTACTCGACTCATTCTCGACTAGAGCTAAGATAAATATTGTTCCGTTGTCAGGATCTATTCCGTCTAAGCATTGGCAATCATTCCGCGACGCTCATTTTGAAAGACTGCGCGCATACATAAATATACTGTGAATCTTGGGTCTGTTCTCTTTAGCAAAACTAGGTCGCACTTTCTGTTTTCTTCTTTTTTTTTGTTTTAGAGTGAGACGAATATGTAACGGACTGTTGAAGGGAAAAAGAAACGAAGCTCCGGAATAACACTAGCGTAGCTGAAAAGAACAGGCCTCTTGTCGATTGCAGCAAGAGTTGTACTTCGACCGATGTAGTCGTACACGTAAATTGACTAGTATCATTAATCATTGATGTGTTTTATCATACGTTGTTCCTACATTATATGCACGTACGCACGCATGTTCGCACGTACTCTATTATCGCGTATCAACGTTGCTGAAGATTAACCTTTCACGAGTGGCGATTATCTTGCGTTCATTAGCATTCTCCATATAAATCGTATTGTATATCACCGTTATGCGAAGGAGAAAACGAAGAAAATCGAAACGGGACGACACCTCCAGCGCTCACAGCAAAAGTAAATGTAGCGTACTTAGATTTCCTAGCCGTTATCTCGACAGTACAATACAATACATATTGCGCTTTGTTATCACGAGCAAGTACGGCGTAGCGTAGCCGATACCAGTCTAATCGATGACGATCAGACAAAGCCGTTGATTGTACGTACAATTCGGAGTACGCAATTGTCCACAATCGTGCAGTTAATGATCGTAAAATACGTGCCTTCTCGTCATACTATCTGTTTTTTATAATATACAAGACGCATGCATTTTCAAGTTTTATTATAACAATCGAATTCTAGGGAGGTACTCGATTCCGCGACGTCCGCGCGCGATCGCTCGAAGCGTCGCTCCTATCGGCAATTCAGGAGTCTCATTGTAACTGTAACTCTCGTAATGTTTTCCGACGTAAGCTAAACGTGTTACATCCATATTTTCTTCCTTGTAGCTCGCTTAATTCGACAAATACAAATATATATTACGCGAAGAGAAGTGCTTTGTCGAATCTTTTCAAGCTAAAACGATTTCTTCGCGACGGCTACCGTCACACGTACTGAGTGCAGCAACACCGAGGAGGAAATGTGATTATTACAATGAAAATACACGAAAAAGTAAAACGTATTTGATTGCATCTTATGCGACGTTGTACTGCGAATCAAAAACTGGATTTATCCAAAAAAATATTAAATATATATATATATATATGTATATATACACATATATACATATTATTATTTCAAAACCAAGTTTCTCATTCCTCAGTATTCGTTTAGATATTTATAGTTCAAGTTCTTTACAATTGCGACACGCAATGTATATTACACGCGATTCAATCTGCCGAAAAATGTCCGAATCAATTTAAATCAAGTTAATGCTCGTAGTGCTAATTAATTCACGCGATTTAGCTGTGTGAATTACATACCTAATGTGCGTTTTACGTGCGGCACAATCGACTCGGTTCAGGAATTGCTGTACGTAATATATCCTCCCAGTAATTCCAGTGAACTAGCAGACGTTTCGACGTATAATATCGTTTGCTGTAGTTACTCGATATGAGGATACATCGTTTTAAAGCCAGGAACCTGGGAACGCTACTCGCGCATCGGAAGACGCGAAAATTTCACAGTGTTTCGTTTTGGATAAATGCTCTTCGGGATCTCGCGAGTGACGACGGTCCGCATGACGAGCATCGTCGACGCAGATATCCTGCGGAGAGGTGATTCGCGATCACTTCTTGCCAACTTGTCATAATCGTTCAGCTCGTTAATCAAAGTTATTTCTCTTGCAGAGTGGCGAGGTTCATGCTACGTATGATAACTGTTTGCTGTATGGTGCTCTCAATGATCGATCTGACGTTGATGTACAAGAGGAGCCCGACCGTCACCAACCCGGAGACGACGCTATATCCGATGTGGAAAGTCAATTATCCGGCAATAGCGATCTGTAATGTCAACCGAATCAGTCGGAAGGCGGCGATCGACCTCGCTCAAGAACTGCACGTAGTTTTAATAAATAAGTCTGTCTACTGTAAACGTTGCGGCGAACGTATTCAATTTGTTGAAGTAATTGATAGTCAAAGTGGTGCAATGATAAAGCAATAGCCTCCTCTAATCATAAATTAATGTGTGACATTAATTAGTAGTTTTTGTATCACACGCAGTATGGAGTTTGAGAGCACCATATTCAGCGCTAATCTCACGTTGTCGGACATCACACATATGCTGAAATTGTTGGGTCAGTTATACCTGCACGACACTGGCGAAACCAGGAATGAGGCTACGAAGCTTCTGCACACGATTCTGGAACGCGGTTACAACGGCTACGACGTGAACAGGATAATGAAACGGGTATCTGGAGAAAAATTATTACATATGAACTTTGTTTCTATATGATCATATATACGTAACTATACGTAATTATATATCTCCATATCATATTGTAAAAATGTTTACATAAATACAATTAAAGTAAATGCTCAAAATTCATATATAAAGCTTATCATATATATTAGTTATTTCTAATGTTGAGTAAATACTTTATAAGCAAAGTTGAACGTTTAATCAGATGAAACTATTTTTTTCTTTTTTTTATTCAACGAAGTCTTTCTTTTGTAAAGACGTATATATAATTATATATTTTATAAAAAGATCTTTCACTTCTCATGCGACAGCTCTCACCGAAATGTAGATCCATGTTGAGAAAGTGCTCGTGGGAGGGTAAGGACCAAGCGTGCGACGACATCTTTCTGCTGAGAAAAACTCGGGACGGCTACTGCTGTACATTTAATTACGCTAGACGCAACGATGGCTTCGGAAGGTGCGCTTCTTCTTAATATGATATCAATTGTTCGTAATAATTTTTTAACGTAATCTTCTTTGAAGCTCTATTGTAACAATGTTATTGCACGAGCAGCGCACAGAACGACGTCTTTACGTCGGAGCATATCGAACATTCGACCAACATCGGATCCGAGTATGGCCTCTCCGTTCTCTTAAATCCACGTTTGGACGATTTCTTTTACAAGACTCTACCGATTAATGGCTTTAAGGTACAACAACCTATTACGTTTATCCTTCACTGGAATTAACGGAAACCCTATCGTAGTTTAAAGTCAATGAGAATTGTCTTGATCTGTCCGTGTAGATATCAGTGTACGATCCTCTAGACCATCCTGACACAACAAGTGGCGACGTGCGCGAAGTTCTAGTCTCCCCGAAAATGGAAACTTATATAGATTTGGACGCGATTATATTTGACACTACCGAAGTAAGTTTATCATCAAACATCGCCCAAGATGAAAGCCAATGATCAGTTATGCCTTATTAATCTTACTGATCTAACGATTTTACCATCGCAGGATGTTCAAAAGTACGACATACGAGAACGCGACTGCTTGTTTCAAACGGAGCAGTCCAAGATATTTCACGGTTACTACTCGTACAGCGACTGCATAATGCATTGCCGTGTACGAGATATCTTCCAGCTATGTAACTGCGTACCATTTTTCTACCCGATAGCGGAAGAAATCGGTAATGGAGCAAAGAGAGCTGTTCACGTCATTTGAAGCATTACACGAATATCTAATACGTGTTTCTATACGTGTTTTTTTCATCCAGCTTTCGCGCAAATTTGTAATCTGAAGGATTTGCCTTGCTTGAAGAAATACAGAGGTTTGTTCATGCTACCATTCAGCTTGTCATTAATCGCGAATGTGAATGCGGAATTCTTTAGAACTTGAGGATGGATATGCTTTGTACTTCTGGGAGGAACCTTAATTTGGATATATCTGTTGTTTGTCAGAGAGATGGCGAAACGTAAAGCCTCGATTTGAAAACACTATGATACCGTTTGACGACAGCGAGTTCGAAGAAACATTCGGTTATCTGAGCTGCGACTGTTTTCCGTCCTGTACAGATGTGACATACAGCGTACAATCTAGCAGCATTCCTTTAAGCCTTACCGAATTGTCATGGGGCAGGTATGAAACATATATAAAAGTAATTTCGGTACAAACATTTAGATATAGAAATAATATCATCATGTCTCTTTTAGAAATAAATATATGCTTAGGAACCACAGCGTAGTGCATATCTATTTCGGGAAGAGCGGCGCGATAAGATTGCGACAGGATGTGCTGTTCTATTGGTATGAACTAATGAGTAAGTTCTTCTACTGTTCTTCATATCAAGAATGCAGCAATGTATTGCTATCGCGTATCTAAAGAACGTTCGATTGTCTTTCTCGTTCCATAGGTAACTACGGAGGTGTATGCAGTCTATTTCTCGGAGTTAGTATCATAAATATAATTGAGATGCTATATAAATCAATCACATGGATCTGGAGATTCGGAGCAACAAATAAATCCGCAATAAATCGAGTCGCAGCACAGACAAAAGAGAAAATTGAAGAAAACTCAGATATGACGAAGGTGACAACAACAATCGCAGTGCAGTCGGCGCCGATACCGGAGATCACTCAATCGCTTCATTGGCGAGAAATGACCGGTGCTCTTCCCAAAGAGCAATTAAATCCGTCTGATTTATTATCAAATTTGTTATTGAAGCACTAAAGTAGTATATATACAGAGAAAGAGAGATGCCGTTCAATCTTGCGTTAAGAAATGCTCTTTTTTTTCACTCTTAGCATTGCTCGTCGCACTTGGTTATATAAGGCGGTGCACACACGCTGTGCTTTGTTCCAAATGAGAAGGCAGGAGTTGGCTTGGGCTGTTTGATGTTGTATTTTGGACCTGGACTTCGGGAAAGAGGTGTAAACCTATATAGGCGTGCCATACTGTAACTTGGAGCCTTCGGATGTGTTACGTTTATGTTATACGGCGAATATGGACCCGCACTTTCTTTGACCTTATGTGTTAGCGTAAGCAATCCCCTGCAAGCAACAAAATAATTCCACGCGGTAACGCGCAAGTTGCAAGTCTTGGAGTAAAGTAGCAGGCAAGTTTACATGGTATACGCGGGTGCGTCAACGGGGAACTTGATGGAATAAGGTCCTGGCGTCTCGATAACCTGCCTCTCCTTAGTTTTCCAACCCAACGAGAAAGAAAGACCACGATCACGAGGTAACATATACTTTGGACCGGGTCCGATCTGCGTAGGATCTATTAAGTGCATCAAGAAATTGCGATGATTATCGTACATTGCTGCAGTTTGAACAATAAAATCGATGTTTCTTACCGCGTCGTACAGTAGCCATTCCGAAGGTATATCCCATCTGTCTGCGTTCCTTAGGCATGTATTTAGGTCCTGGACCAATTGCAACATGCTTTCTCTTCTGGCTTTTGCCAAACGTATAAGCTGGATTTCGAAACTTCGAAATGCAGTGTCCCTTATAGCCGATGAGTGTGTTGAGTTCATATTTGGGCCCGGGAACTGTGAAACAATAGTGGTAAGTCTTATTCCTGTAATTTTTTTCACCAAGTCTCTAATTAAAACAGTTTAATTCTCTACATGAGAGATTGACCAGTACGCTTTACCAGTATGTTATATAAAATATTTGCATCTTCATTCTCGCATGCAAAATTAATATTCAAAATAAATTGGAATGCGTACTGTGTATAGCGCATGTAGCCATCTCTTTGCCGGCCATTGTCGGGATTTTCTTTTTCTTCTTATCCGTAGTTTTGCCTTTCTCACGTCCTTTCGGTGGCATCTCTCTTCACTTGTAAATTTGGAAGTTTTATCCGAAACATATATTTTTTTGGGTTACATAGTCATGATTATAGCTCCATTTTGTAAAAAAACAATTGCTTATAAATTACATCAACGTGTCAAGAAATATACTATGAATATAAAATAATGAAGATACTCTCTAAACAATATCTCGTATATCCTTGTGCTTTCGACATTTTATCTTTAATCATCTCGAAACAGATTGCTTATTTTATTACCAGGAAACGCCGTATGTATGTGAAAGATTATCTAGTTTTTCTACAGGACAAATTTATTGAGTAATGATACAGCACAACAGTGTCGATGTACAATGTACAATCTTATTGCAAGGTCCTTCCAATTGCAGAATCAATCTTCGTCCTGCTGCGTGATAGGTACTCCAGTGCACTCGCTATGTTTCACACCGAAAGAGTACTCGGGCGCACGTTTTCGTGTATCATATAGCGGATAAAAGGTCGGCGCTGGGGTAGTAGGATATTTCTCTGATAGAATGTGTCGTCCTTTCAGACTGTACGCGGGACTTCGACGTTTCACCAAGTTATAATCCAACTTAGTGTACGCGGCCGGACCTGGGCCTATGATAGTTCCACGTATCTCGTGATGACCAGTACTGAATGAAGAAAAAAGATACATATATCATTGTATGCATGTGAAGTGCACACAATGCAATTGCAACAGAGTCGCTCAATAAAATCCATCTCACATGGAAAATGCTCCCTGTGCCGGCTTATCGGGCACTTTGGGCCCTATGCACGTAGGTAAAAGATATGTATTCGGACTTGGTCCCGTTTCGAGTAACTTTATCTGATCTCGTGTCTTGATACTGTAAGCTGGCGCTCTACGACTGTGATTTATTGGTGGGCACAACTCAGGAGAATATGCTCCAGGTCCCGGTCCCAGATCTCGCACTATGAAACTATTATATGTTAATGTACTGCTTGTTTTCTGAGTCAATTAAAAACATATTTTATGCTCTTACATTTCATTGTTTCTCTGCCTTTAATTGAATAAGCAGGTGACCTATCTTGCCCAAACTTGGTTAACTTCGACACGTTGTAGCGAGGACCAGGCCCCATCAAGTAAAGTCCTGAACTGATCTTAGGTCGAATTGTGTACGCCGGATTTCTGTGACGCGATGGGTCATGGCCGGTATAACCAGTTAATGTTGGCAGCTTGTAAACTGGGCCAGGACCTGTGCACAGGGATTCATATCGACGCGATTGAACTAAATTTTTATAGTCTGGATATAATTTTATGAAAATGATCATCTAGTACCTTTCACTCTGCAGCTTGGTACTTTCCCTTCTTTATCCTCCATCCTCCAAGATATTAATAAAATATATAAATTCTATAAATGAATGTAAAAATTTTTCATAGCGATAGGTTATTAATAAAATATGAAAATCATAAAACATAATTGACATATTCATGGTAGTCAATACTAGTTCAACTACACAATAATCTGGAACAGTAAAATGAAATAAACAGAGATTATATTATAATAAAAAGTTTATTGGTAAAGCTTTTCTCTATGTAAGTGAATCTAAGTCATCAATATCACTATCACAGCTATCTTCTTCCTCTTCTTTGACAGACAACGATTTAAGTTTCACTAGTAAATTTTCCCTGTTTTTGGAATTTATTGTATTCTCACTTGTGTCTTCAACTTCACTTGTACCTGATTCAGCAGAATCTTTCTTCTTATTTTTATCTAGAAATTAAATAATGTAAAAATATATATTATAAATTCATACATTTTTCTTTTTAATGTGTATTACCTTTCTGATTTATATAACGTAAAAATGTCCTTCGTTTCCTCTCGGGTAATGTTTTTAGAAGTGCTTGAAGTTCTGCATCCAATTTAATTTGTTCTTCCCTGCTAGGCTTTGCTTCTACAATTTCACTTTTTATTCCACACTTTGGACAAACTTCTTGTTGTTTGGCACAAGGCAAGCATACTGTATGATAAGCATGTTTTACAGTTTTTTGCTCACACTTTGTACATTTTGCAGGAACTTTAAGTGCCTTGTACTTTTTATACTTGATCTTCCATTCTATTATCTTTTTGCAACGTTCGCATACATTGACAACTTCGATATTATTAATCAACTTTGTTTTATGAGATGTGTCATGCAGGTTATTTTTAAAGGCTGTGTGATTTTGATGTTTTTGTGCCCTCGATCGATTAGCATTACCTCTTTGACAACTCATGTTTTTAAAATCGAAATGTTTCAAATGATTCAATCAATATGTAGAATGGTTGTGTTCTTCTTTAAATTTTATGATAAAAATTTTTGATCAATTAATAATAGAGATATAAGGTTATATTTATTTTACATCTGAAAGTGGATGCAGCATCGTAGCAGAGAGGAACGTAAGAGCGGCCAACACGGTGTTTTCGACGACACCGACTTTCCGCACTGGGAAAGGGCGCCATCTGCATCCATTTTGAGAGGGGAACTACGATGCTACATCCATTTTCAAGTTTCGGCGGTAAAACCTGTATGTGGTGGCAGTCCGTGCTACATCCATTTTAGGCGGTTTATGTCCGTGCTACAACCATAATAGCGTACTTGACAAGCATCGTCTCGCATATTGTTACGCGCTTATAATATGAATTAACATGTTAACATGTGCAAAAGAAAGAATTGACATTGTGTATGATTAATATCATGAAGATCATACTTACCGGAAATGTCCGGTAATTAGCTGCCAACCCGAAGCGTGAGGGTAGATTGGGTTGAGACAAACATAAAAGTCCCATACCATTTTGCGAGATTCGCAATAATTATCGAGTTATTAATAACAGAAATCTGAGGAGTAAAAGCGCCGTCATAGATGATTCGAAAAGCATTGCAGCTGCTCGGGGCAGTGATCATGAATCTTTTCCCTAGCGTGAACTAATAAAAAGTGAAAGACTTCTGTGAATCAGTGAAAAATGAAAAATTTTATATAAATTTGTGAAAATCGAAATATTTCACACGACAATTGAAACGTTCAACATGGCAGTTGCGCGTTCTGGATAATTCAATGAATACCAAAGAAATCAAAATGATCAAAACAATAATGTCCGCGTAGTCCGAAGGATATTACGTGACACGCAAAATCCGTTTGATATAATATCCAAAGAAAATGTTTCAAAATATGTATGTACGAATATTATAAACCTTATGCACCGACGAGATATACTACAAAGACTGATGGCCTTACGGGATTTAGCGTACCAGAGAAATTTCCCTGGTGAGGCACCCGGGCGAAAGAGACCGTCTCGCATCTAGCGCAGTAAAATTTAATGGAAACTAATACTTTTCAATCCTTTTCTTCGGATCAAAAAGATTCAGAATTCAGGCATATTCAAAATGTCAATACTTTTTAATACGTTTCAATTCGACATTTTATACAGGAAAGCAGGACGAAGGGAATGGGATGCGGGCAATGATACATCATGCGTCTCCAGACGTGTCAAATGTTTATTATAGAGGTTTATTATAGAGGAGACTTTGATACGGCAACATGTATTCGAAGATTTAACATTTAATACGTACTTTTATTTTTTCTGCTCCTCCCCCTCCCCCCCTCCCGCTCTTTTTAGACCTCCGGGCATAGTCTGGTATAGAGATGGCAAGAGATGGTAGTTGCAGCACGGACATAAACCGCCTAAAAGTGGATGTAGCACGGATTTCCACCACATGCAGATTTTACCACCAAAACCTAAAAGTGGATGTAGCATCGTAGTTCTCCTCTCAAAATGGATGCAGATGGCGCTCATTTCCAGTGCGAAAAATCGGTGTCGCCGAAAACGCCGTGTTGGCCGCTCTCAGCTTCCTCTCTGATCGTAGTTCCCCTGTCAAAATAGTTGCAGATGGCGTCCTTTCCCAGTGCGGAAAGTCGGTGTCGCAAAAAATGCCGTGTTAGCCGCTCTCAGATTTCTCTCTGCTCTCTGCCATTAGTAAACAATCGTGTCAAGATGGCAGTTCCTTCGGTTTCTCTCAATACACGAAATAAAAAGCTCTTTTTGGGAGTACCAGCACCATTGGGATATGTTGCTGGTGTTGGAAGAGGGTAACATTGAATGAGATACATAATTATCTAAATATTTTTTAGAAATATTAATTGTAATTATAGTAATTGTAATGCGAATATACATAACCTTTCTTTCTGTATTTTAGAGCTACTGGATTCACGACACGGTCTGATATCGGTCCGGCTCGAGATGCCAATGATGTTTCGTGAGTAAAAAAATACATTTCTTTCGTAGTTCAAATAATATAGAATTTATAAATTATTATATATTTTTTGCTCTAAATTCAGAGATGACAGACATGCTCCACCTACGAAACGTACAAAGAAAAAGGAAGAAGAGGAGGAAGATGAGGAAGACTTGAATGATTCCAATTATGACGAATTTTCTGGATATGGAGGTTCCCTTTTTAGCAAAGTAAATAAATTGGTTTAATTTTTTTATAATATATTTAGGATAGATACTAATATCCTGATAATATTAGGATCCTTATGATAAAGATGACGAAGAGGCAGATGCAATTTACGAAGCTATTGACAAACGTATGGATGAAAAACGTAAAGAATACAGAGAGAAGCGTCTTAGAGAAGAATTGGAACGTTATCGTCAAGAACGTCCCAAGATCCAACAGCAATTCTCAGATCTAAAGAGAGAGCTGGTTAATGTAACTGAAGATGAATGGAGAAATGTTCCTGAAGTAGGAGATGCCAGAAATCGTAAACAGCGTAATCCAAGAGCAGAGAAATTTACTCCATTGCCAGATTCTGTACTAGCCAGAAATCTAGGAGGTGAGACATCCACCAGCATCGATCCATCCAGTGGTTTGGCTTCTATGATGCCAGGAGTAGCAACGCCTGGTATGCTAACTCCTACAGGAGATCTTGATTTGCGAAAGATTGGACAAGCCAGAAACACATTGATGAATGTCAAGTTGAATCAAGTCTCCGATTCTGTGGAAGGCCAAACTGTGGTTGATCCAAAAGGATATCTCACAGATTTGCAAAGCATGATACCGACATACGGAGGTGACATAAAGTAAGCATAATTATTGAATTAAATTTTTTGCTCTATTTAAATGTAATTTTAAGAATTTGCAGGTGTAGCATTTAGTGATTTTCTATTCTTTTTTCAGTGACATCAAAAAAGCTAGACTATTATTAAAATCTGTCCGAGAAACTAATCCCAATCACCCGCCTGCATGGATTGCATCTGCACGTTTGGAAGAAGTAACGGGAAAGGTCCAAGCTGCTAGAAACTTAATAATGAAGGGTTGCGAGGTGAATCCTACCTCCGAGGATTTATGGTTGGAAGCTGCAAGACTGCAGCCACCAGACACAGCGAAAGCGGTGATAGCACAGTCAGTACGACACATCCCAACGTCTGTCAGGATCTGGATAAAAGCAGCGGACTTAGAAACAGAAGTGAAAGCAAAAAGGAGAGTGTTCCGCAAGGCTCTGGAACATATACCGAACTCGGTGCGACTGTGGAAAGCAGCGGTTGAATTGGAGGAGCCCGAAGATGCACGTATTTTATTGAGTCGCGCAGTCGAATGTTGCCCCACCAGTGTGGATCTGTGGCTTGCTCTCGCCAGGCTGGAGACTTACGACAATGCGAGAAAAGTTCTGAATAAAGCTCGAGAGAACATACCGACAGACCGACAAATCTGGACCACCGCTGCGAAATTGGAAGAAGCGAATGGCAATAAGCACATGGTAGAAAAGATTATTGATCGTGCTATAACATCGTTGAGCGCGAACGGAGTAGAAATCAACCGAGAACATTGGTTCAAAGAAGCCATGGAAGCTGAAAAGGCAGGGGCGGTACATTGTTGTCAAGTTATTGTTAAAGCCATTATCAGTTTTGGAGTGGAGGAAGAAGATAGGAAACACACTTGGATGGAAGACGCAGAAGCTGTGAGATTTATTATTTTTATAAATGTTATAAAGATAGACAACATTGCGAGAACTAACACATAAATATTAAAATGTTAAATTATTCGCAGTGTGCCCAACAAGGAGCGTTGGAATGCGCCAGAGCAGTCTATGCATATGCATTAACAACGTTTCCTAGCAAGAAGTCAATCTGGTTGCGCGCGGCTTATTTCGAAAAAACTTATGGTACACGAGAATCCCTGGAAGCTTTATTGCAGAGAGCAGTCGCTCATTGTCCTAAGAGCGAAATACTCTGGTTGATGGGCGCTAAATCGAAATGGCTGGCTGTAAATAGAGAATTATATGCGAAATTTTAATTGCATTCAATCTTTGTCCTATTTTCTCATCTTGGTATTTGTTCTTCAGGGCGACGTGCCGGCAGCCAGAGGCATCTTATCCCTCGCGTTTCAAGCTAATCCAAATTCTGAGGAGATTTGGTTGGCGGCAGTGAAGCTAGAGTCTGAAAATTCAGAGTACGAGAGAGCGCGACGCTTACTGGCAAAAGCTAGAGCATCCGCTCCGACTCCGAGGGTGATGATGAAAAGCGCCAAGTTGGAATGGGCTCTTAAAAATCTCGATGCTGCATTGCACCTTCTAAAGGAAGCTCTTGAAGCCTTCGATGATTTCCCCAAGCTGTGGCTGATGAAAGGCCAAATCGAAGAACAACAGGGTAATGCGGATAAAGCGTTAGAGACATATAATCAAGCGGTAAGCGAGTTTAGCATATTTAATGAAGATAACTGACACGTGAGTGACTACTTACAATGCAATTCTTTTTCTTTTATATACAACAGATTAAAAAATGCCCGCATTCAATACCTTTATGGCGTCTATTGTCGCAATTGGAGCATAGGAGGAACCAAGTGACCAAAGCTCGTTCGGTTCTGGAAAAAGCTAGACTGAAAAATCCTAGGAATGCGGAATTATGGCTGGAGGCCATACGAAACGAACTAAAAAATGGTGGTGTGCGTGATATGGCAAACACATTAATGGCTAAAGCATTACAAGAATGTCCTACGTCTGGTCTGCTCTGGGCAGAAGCAATTTTCATGGAACCACGACCTCAAAGAAAGACTAAAAGCGTGGATGCCCTCAAGAAATGCGAGCACGATCCTCATGTTCTTTTAGCAGTATCAAAGTAAGTCTCACAGACATTTACAATATATTGCGGATAATTTAGTTAAAATGTTGTGTAAAATCACATACGTGGTTCTGTTGCAGATTGTTTTGGTGTGAGCACAAGATCTCAAAATGCAGAGATTGGTTCAATCGAACAGTGAAGATAGACCCGGACTTAGGAGACGCATGGGCATACTTTTATAAATTTGAATTGTTAAATGGTACAGAGGATCAACAAGAAGATGTAAAGAAAAAATGTATTGCTGCAGAACCTCATCATGGTGAAAATTGGTGCAAAGTCTCCAAGAACATAGTAAATTGGTGTCTTAATACAGATCAAATCTTAGTATTAGTTGCAAGAGATTTGCCCATTCCTATATAAACTCTATCATTAATTTATCAGAATACAAATATAATAAACTTCTTAATGTATAAGTATATATTTGTAAATAAAACTAAATATATCCAGATTAGTTCATATTCTTATGCTACATAAGTATATATATTTACATTATATAATTTCATATATTTAATTACATATTATTTATATATTACTCATGTATATCTTTACATGTAAGATATAATTAGATCTGTTAGCTTTGTAAGTCGCATATTATGTAATCATGTTAAAAAATATTTTATAATAGATCTAAATTAAGATGTGTTATCTATTTGGAGATTAAGAAAATAAATTAGAATTATATGTTAAGAAATTAAAACGATAAATTTCAGAAGGAAATATTTTAAGGGGAAATATTAGAACAAACTTTCTTTGTTGATATAGTTTGTGCGACGTTCTCTTATATATGATTATCTTTTGCACTTACACTATTGAGTCAACGGTTGATTTTCTGAATTCCGAGAACAGCTGTAGCGCCAGTAGCGCTTTTAAGTCACTTTTGAGGTTATAAGCGTAGCATCCAAAAGAAATGTTTTCTTACTGATCGTCGTAAGTTAAAGCAATTAGTAATGTTTAGTGCAGAAATACGTGATCTTGTTGATTATTGTATAAATATGAAAAACAAGATATAACGGGATGGAGATAAAATAATATATAAAAGATCGGGAATGTAACCGTACGGATCTAAAGAGTGGCATTAGCACTATATGTGTGTGTATGTGTGAATAAATATATATTAAAGATCCATTAACTGAGAAACTGCATTGCCCACGATAATATTATGTCATAGCATGAAATGAATTCATCTGATGTTAAGTATGTACAAGTGAAATAATATACAACGGTTTTATTGCTTAACCTTAATTCGCTGCATATGAGACCAGATAACTGATTTGTTTTTTCAGGTATTAAACTAATGAGGGAGTCTCATTTACTAAGCTTTACACATTGATTTATACATATAATATCGGAACAATGACGAATACACTCATGTTACAATTTGCCCAACGGCTCAAGTCAAGAAATGAAGAAGCACGTAACAAAGCTGCTCGCGATTTGTGCCTGTACGTCAAAAGAGAATTGCGAGAAGCGTCGCAGGAGGAAATCACATCTTTTATGGACGACTTTAATCATCACATATTTGAAATGGTATCTGCTTCTGACATAAATGAGAAGAAAGGTGGTATATTAGCCATAGTTTGCCTTATCGGTGCCGAAGTAGGTAACTTTAACACACGAACGGCACGATTTGCTAACTACCTTAGAAATTTAATACCTTCCAACGATGTGGGCGTTATGCAATTAGCCGCAAAGACTGTCGGAAAGTTAGCGTTAGTTTCAGGCACTTACACAGCCGAATATGTGGAGTTTGAGGTAAAACGTGCCTTTGAGTGGCTTGGTACAGACAGACATGAAGGTAGAAAACATGCAGCTGTACTTATTCTAAGAGAACTTGCTGTCTCTGTGCCAACATACTTTTTTCAACAAGTTACACCATTTTTTGAGTTGATATTTAATGCTATACACGATCCCAAACCTACTATAAGAGAAGCTGCTGTGGAAGCTTTGAGAGCAGCGTTGGTAGTCACTGCTCAACGGGAAACTACAAAACAAATGCATAAGGCTCAATGGTATAAACAGTGTTATGACGAAGTAGTAGATGGATTTGCAGAAGTTCATACAAAGGAAAGGGGCATTAATAGAGATGACAGGATACACGGCTCTTTGTTAGTGTTAAATGAGCTATTGAGATGCAGTAATGTACAGTGGGAAAGAACTTACGAGGCTCTGATGGAAAGATTAAACGGATCTACGCAAAATGAAAATGATATCCTTTCGTTGATGCCACGTTTGAAGACGACAATAGTATCAAAATGGGCCGGATCCACTCAGAACACCTCCGGATCTCAGCATACCCTATGCCCGGCGCAAGAATCGGCAGTCTGCAGATGTTTGATGCAAGAGAGATTGGACGACATTTATAACGACGTGATGAATCAGAAGATGTCTCGAAACCCACACATTCAACATGCACTCATGATGCTTTTGCCTAGACTCGCTGCGTTCAACAAGGAGAAATTCATAAAGGAACATCTGAGAGAATCCTTGGGTTATCTTCTGATGATCTTGCGCAATCGTGAGAAGGATCGTTACGCCGCATTCACGGCCATCGGCTTCATATCCGTGGCGGTGGAGGACGCGATCAAGCCGTACTTACCGAAAATCATGGAAGTAATCAAGAGCTTATTACCGTCTAAGGAGACACCGAGCAAGAAACGCACCTCCTTAGAGCCTGCAGTATTCGTTTGCATCACTCTGCTGAGCCACGCGGTCAAACAAGTCATAGCTGCTGACGTGAAAGACCTACTGGAGCCGATGTTCACAACGGGATTGAGCCCGATCTTAACCACCGCTCTTCGAGAACTGGCGCACAACATTCCGACTCTACAAGTGGATATATCTCAAGGTCTACTACGAATGTTGTCCCAGGTTCTCATGCAAAAGCCGCTGAGACATCCTGGAGCTCCGTGGACAGCGACTAGTCCCAACTCGACGTCGGACGACGTGTCGTCGACAGTGCTCGCCTTGAAGACCCTGGGCACGTTCAACTTTGATAACAATCCGTTGCTGCAATTCGTGAAGAGATGCGCGGACCATTTTCTGATGTCGGAACAGGCGGAGGTTCGATTAGAGGCTGTAAAAACATGTTCCAGACTATTGAGATTGACGCTGAATCAGTCTGGTCCCACGGTCACCAACACCGTCTCAAATGTTTTAGGTAAGCTGCTGGTGGTAGGTATCAACGATACAGATCCGGACGTACGTTTATGGGTGTTAGCGTCGTTGGACGATTCCTTCGACGTGCAGTTGGCTCAGGCGGAAAACTTGTCCGCTCTGTTCATCGCCATGAACGACGAAATGTTCGAGATACGAGAACTGGCGGTTCGCACTGTAGGACGACTCAGCACGCTGAATCCCGCCTACGTTATGCCGTCGCTGCGAAAAACTCTGGTGCACTTTCTCACAGAGCTGGAGCACTCGGGGATGGGTCGCAACAAGGAACAGGCCGCCCGAATGTTGGACCATTTGGTTGTCACGTCGCCGAGACTGGTCCGGCCGTACATGGAGCCGATCTTGAAAGTCCTCGTCCCGAAGCTGAAGGAGCCCGACCCCAATCCCGGTGTGATATTGGCTGTTTTGCGCGCAATCGGCGATCTAGCCGAGGTGAATGGCGCCGAGATGCAGCAGTGGATGCCTGAGCTCTCGTCGATACTACTCGAGATGCTGGTGGACGCCAGTTCGCTTGAGAAGCGAGGTGTAGCCCTGTGGGTGTTCGGCCAGTTGGTCGGCAGCACCGGTCACGTTGTAAAACCATACATGCAGTATCCATCTTTGCTGGACGTTCTCATCAACTTCCTGAAGACCGAGCAACAACCGATCATCCGACGAGAAACCATCAGAGTACTCGGTCTGTTGGGCGCGTTAGACCCGTACAAGCACAAGATGAATCTCGGGCAGATCGACTCGCAGTTGGACACACTGAGTTCGATGGCCGATGCCAAGAGTGATGTGGAGAACACTCAGGATTTGACCACCAGCGAGATGCTGGTGAACATGTCGCCGTCTACGCTGGAGGAGTTTTACCCGGCGATCGCCATCACCACGCTCATGCGAATCATTCGCGAGCCGACCCTTCTTCAACATCACACCATGGTGGTGCAAGCCGTGACCTTCATATTCAAGAGTCTCGGCATCAAGTGCGTGCCCTACATCTCCCAAGTAATGCCGAGCTTCCTCAATGTCGTACACACCGCCGACGTGAACTTCCGCGAATTTCTGTTCCAACAGCTGGCTGTTCTCATCGCCATCGTGAAGCAACATATACGCAACTATTTGGACGACATATTCAGCTTGATTAAGGAATTCTGGATCGCAAACAGCCCCTTGCAGAGCACACTGATCTTGTTGGTTGAGCAGATCGCAGTGGCCTTGGGCGCGGAGTTCAAGATTTACTTGCCGCAACTAATGCCGCCGATACTGAGAGTGCTGACGCATGACACTAGCAAAGATCGCGCGGTGACGGTGAAGCTACTTTTGGCTCTGCAGACCTTCGGCAGCAACCTCGACAATTACCTTCATCTCGTTCTGCCGCCGATTGTAAAGTTGTTCTACGCGAATGACTGTCCGATAGCCGTGAACAAGGTTGCTCTTGAAACGGTCGACCTGCTAGCCGACACGCTGGATTTCAGCGACTTCGCATCACGGATCGTTCATACTTTGGTACGAACATTGGATCAGTGTCCCGACCTGAGGAACAGCGCCATGGACACGCTCTGCGCTGTGGTGATGCAGCTGGGCAAGAAGTACCAGATCTTTATTCTGCTGGTGCAGAAGGTCATGACGAAGCACAAGATAGTCAACTCGCGATATGACGTTCTCGTGGACAAGATCCTCACCGACACGACTGTAGCGGACGGCGAAGATTTCCTGTTGATGAGGCTGCGCCATTCGCGGAACAAGAATCGCGAGCTCTCGCTCACACCCTCGGAAACCACCACGATCAAGAGACTGCACGTGTCGGCTTCGAACTTGCAGAAAGCGTGGACAGCGACGCGCAGAGTTTCAAAGGACGATTGGCTCGAATGGTTGCGTTGCTTCTCCATCGGCCTGCTCAAAGAGTCCCCGTCCCCGGCTCTGAGATCTTGTTGGGCGCTCGCGCAAACGTACGCCGTGCTGCCCCGCGACCTGTTCAACGCCGCCTTCGTCTCGTGCTGGACCGAGTTGAACGACACGTACAGAGCGGAGCTGATACAAACTCTGCATCAAGCGCTGATGGTGCCTGAGCTGCCTACGGAGATCACGCAGACTATCTTGAACTTGGCTGAGTTCATGGAGCATTGCGACAAGGGTCCGCTGCCGTTGGACAATAAGATCCTGGGCGACACAGCGATGCACTGCCGCGCGTACGCCAAGGCGTTACACTACAAGGAGGACGAGTTCCATAAGAATCGAAGCAGCGGTGTATTTGAATCTTTGATCTCCATCAACAACAAGCTGCAGCAGAAGGAGGCGGCCGAGGGTCTGCTGGAATACGTGATGAATCAACACAATCAGCAAGACCTCAAGGTCCAGATACGCTGGTACGAGAAGCTTCACAACTGGGACAAGGCGTTGCAACTGTACCAGGAGCGTCTGGAGAGTGATTCCGCGGACGTGGAGTCCACTTTGGGCGAGATGCGCTGTCTGGAGGCCCTCGGCGAATGGGGCCAGCTGCACGAAGTCGCCACGAAGCATTGGACGAACCAGGCCGACGAGACTAAGCAGAGAATGGCGAGAATGGCAGCAGCCGCGGCGTGGGGCTTGGCTCAGTGGGAATGTATGCAGCAGTACGTCTCACTGATACCAAAAGACACCCAAGATGGAGCGTTTTACAGAGCGGTATTGGCGATTCATGACGAACAGTACAACACTGCGCATCAACTGATTGACAGCGCGAGGGATATACTCGACACTGAATTGACAGCGATGGCTGGCGAGAGTTACCAGCGCGCGTACAACGCCATGGTGGAGGTGCAGAAGCTGGCGGAATTGGAGGAAGTGATACAGTTCAAGCTGGTGCCTGAACGGAGGACAGCCATCAAAGCTATGTGGTGGGAGAGGCTTCAAGGTGGGCAGAGGATAGTGGAGGATTGGCAGAAGATCATACAGGTACACACGTTGGTGGTCTCACCTCAGGATGACATGTATACGTGGCTGAAGTATGCGAGTCTGTGCAGGAAGAGCGGCAGCTTGATGTTGTGTCACAAAACGCTTGTGATGCTGTTGGGCGTGGATCCTTCTTTGAATTCTGACCAACCATTGCCGACGACGCATCCTCAGGTGACTTTCGCTTACTGCAAGCATCTGTGGGTTGCGAACAAACGCGAAGAGGCTTACAATCAGTTGCAGCGTTTCGTGCAAACATATCTGCAGTCGACCACTACAGGAATAGTGAGTCAAGACGACGAGAAGCAGCATGAGAGCAAGAAGAGGCTGCTCGCCAGGTGTTACCTCAAGCTCGGAGAATGGCTAGAGGCGTTGAAGGGCATAAACGAGCACTCGATACCTGCGGTGTTGTCTTATTACGCCGCGGCGACGACGCACGACCCAACGTGGTACAAAGCGTGGCACGCTTTCGCCTACACCAACTACGAGACCGTTTTGTTCTACAAGCACCAGCAGGACGACTCCGTCATGGAGGTTGCACCTGGCAATGGAACACGCAATAATCTTTCTAGCTCGCAATACATATCGCAGTTCACCGTACCGGCTGTGGAGGGCTTCTTCAGGTCCATCAACTTGTCGGATGGCAACTCGCTGCAAGACACTCTACGCTTGCTAACACTCTGGTTCGATTACGGCCAATGGCCGGAAGTATACGACGCGGTCGTCGAGGGTATAAGACTAATAGAGATAAATACTTGGCTGCAAGTAATCCCGCAGCTCATAGCTAGAATCGACACCAGAGCCTTGGTCGGACATTGCATACACCATCTTCTTATCGACATAGGAAAGTCCCATCCTCAGGCTCTGGTATATCCGTTGACGGTAGCTTCGAAGAGCGCCAGTCCCGCGAGAAAGAACGCGGCTAATAAAATCCTGAAGAGCATGTGCGAGCACAGCCCGACATTGGTCCAGCAGGCCATGATGGCGAGCGACGAACTCATCAGAGTCGCGATTCTGTGGCACGAACTGTGGCACGAAGGCTTGGAGGAGGCTAGCAGATTGTATTTCGGAGAGAGAAACGTCAGAGGCATGTTTGACACGTTGGAACCCTTGCACGCTATGCTCGAAAGGGGACCGCAGACCTTGAAGGAGACCTCATTCAATCAAGCGTATGGAAGGGATCTAATGGAAGCGCAAGAGTGGTGCCACAGATACAAAGCGTCTCGCAACGTCAGGGACTTGAATCAAGCTTGGGACTTGTATTATCACGTGTTCCGAAGGATATCCAGACAACTGCCGCAACTGACCAGTTTAGAGTTGCAGTACGTTAGTCCGAAGCTGCTTCTCTGCAGGGACTTGGAGCTGGCTGTGCCGGGCAGCTACAGTCCTGGCCAGCCAATAGTGAGAATCGCGAGTATTCACAGTTCGATGCAAGTGATAACCAGTAAGCAACGACCGAGGAAGTTGTGTATTAAAGGTCAGTTGATGTCGTGGGAATTATCTCCTTTGGAAAATCTGGACAACATATTAATCGACCTCAATGCGTTTCAGGTAGCAACGGTAAAGATTATATGTTCTTATTAAAAGGCCACGAGGATTTGAGACAAGACGAAAGAGTGATGCAGCTATTCGGCTTGGTGAACACCCTCTTGTTGCACGACCCGGACACTTTCCGCAGGAACCTCACCATTCAAGTGTGTATTAATAATTAGGTGACTAATGTAAGCGGAGATGCTGCTTGCACAGAATCCTCTCAACTCGAATCTTCGTTGTATTCAGAGATACGCTGTGATCCCACTGTCCACGAACAGTGGACTTATCGGCTGGGTACCGCATTGTGATACGCTTCATACACTCATAAGAGACTACAGAGAAAAGAAGAAGATATTACTCAACATCGAGCACAGGATAATGCTACGAGTAAGAGAGACAAACTTTATTATTTAAATAATTACGCGTATTTAGCATATCCGGGTTCTCCCAAGGTAAGCGAAATATACGAGCGTACTTTTCATTTCAGATGGCACCCGACTACGATCATCTCATGCTCATGCAGAAGGTCGAAGTGTTCGAACACGCTCTCGAGCACACGCATGGCGATGACCTGGCGCGATTGTTGTGGCTGAAGTCACCGTCGAGCGAAGTATGGTTCGATCGCAGGACGAACTACACGCGGTCTCTGGCTGTGATGTCCATGGTGGGCTATATACTCGGCCTTGGCGACCGTCACCCGTCCAACTTGATGTTGGACCGCCTGAGCGGAAAGATACTGCACATCGACTTCGGCGATTGCTTCGAGGTGGCTATGACACGCGAGAAGTTCCCGGAGAAGATACCATTTCGCTTGACGCGCATGTTGATCAATGCGATGGAGGTGACTGGTATCGAGGGAACGTATAGGAGAACTTGCGAATCGGTGATGTCTGTGCTGCATCGAAACAAGGACAGTCTGATGGCGGTCTTAGAGGCATTCGTTTACGACCCTCTTCTGAATTGGAGGCTGATGGACAATGCGGTGCCGAAGGGAAAACGATCGGATGCACAGGGTATGAGCGCCAGCAGCAGCCAGGAGCACGGGGATATGCTCGATTCGCTCACCGCTACGTTACCAAAGAAGGGTGTGCCGTGTAGTATCGAAAACGGAGGTAAGTCATCCGTTTCTCGGTACTGATGGCAATCGTGCGTTATGAAATTAATCGATAAAAAGATAAAGTTATAAATTGATAGAGATAGAGATTGTTAAGTATAAAGACTATTAAAGATAAAGATTGTTAAATTAATCGATAAAGAGATAAAGTTATAAATTGACAGAAATAGAGACCGTTAAATATATAAAAATATATAAATAATGTATATATATATATATATATATATATATATAAAGATTGTTAAGGATAAAGGTTGTCAAACTAATCGATAGAGCTGGTCGGACATCAGATTGACATCAGAAATAATGATAAAGCTTATATTTTTATCATAAATTGATTGAAAAATTTACTTTCTACGCTATTAGATCGTTGGATCGTGATATCATACATTTCTTCCATGTACACACGCGGTGTTCTTTTTATATGACTTTTGCAGGTGATAATCAACCGGAGGCATTAAACAAAAAAGCTCTCGCGATCATAGTGAGAGTCAGAGATAAATTAACAGGACGCGATTTTTCACACGAAGAAACTCTCAACGTCCGACGACAGGTAGATCTGTTGATCCAACAAGCCACGAATAACGAGAATCTTTGTCAATGTTATATCGGGTGGTATGTAATTACTTATAATCATTTCATTCTCCGACAATCTGCTTCTTTATTTGCTATGGACATTTTCATCATTTTAGAATTCATACGCTTCTTTTGTTGACATTCTATATATATTAACAACTTGTTTGTAACTTGTTTTAGCATATAAGAAATGTTTACATACAAAATTTTATAAAAAACACGGACATAAATTTTGCACTTATTATTTTGTTATTGCACTTTCCAGGTGTCCTTTTTGGTAAATGCAAGTTTGTCGCCAAGATGACATCTCGTACATGTGCAATCGCCTGCTTCTGCATTTATAATGTTATAAAATTATTATATCTTTAATTTTTACAGTGATCATATGTATGATGTATATATATATATGACGTATTACTATATGATTTATATGTGATAGTAACAATCGATTATACAGTAAGTAGAATGTTGTATACTAGTATATTGTGTACATTACAAACGTTTGGTTGACAGTTATAACGGCTATGTTTATATATAGCCCATCTTACCGTGAATATTATCTGTAAAGCAACTGCAGGATAGAATGTTTCTATCTTACAGTTTCTATCTGTAAAATAGAAACGAGCTTAACAGTGAGAATACTTTCGTTTCGATTTTATATTCGCCGAGGAAATCGAGTAATTGCACTAAAAAACGATAAAAAATCTGTATTTCTGTACATACGTATACACGTACATATTATAAATAATTCTTTAGCATTGTTGTTTTCGATTCTGTTAAAGTAAAGTTCAAGTTGATAAACAATTTTAAAGACGTATATTAGGCGATATATATATATATATATGTATATATATAAAAATCATCCAATTATTAGTTAAATAATAATTCAATTAACTTAATTTAATGATTTATTCGAAACAGTGTATGTGTGTCATTTCGAATAAATAATTGAGTTAAGTTCGATAAAACGTTCCGCACATTCAGCGTAGCCTCTGTGGTGATCGAACGATCTTTGATGAAAATTCAGTTACAACGCTGTCATATTGGGCATGTTGAACGAGAGGGGACATAACTCGCTGCTCCGAGTCCTTAGAACCATTTTCATGTCGGATCTAGTCAAGTAGATCGGTATATCGCCAAATTCGACGATCACCTGCCTGCACACTCCGCATGGCGCCGTGAATATCGTGTTGTCATGGTCGGCGACGACGGTCAATGCTTTGAATTGTTTCTTGCCCTCCGACACAGCTCTCACGATCGCCGATGTTTCGGCGCACACGCCCGCGGGGAAGGACGCGTTCTCCACGTTGCAACCCTTCGAGATGCTGCCGTCCGCGCATCGGACCGCCGCGCCTACCTTGAACTTGCTGTACGGCGAATACGAATTCTCACGCACCACTGCACTTTCCCTTATCAGCTCCTGAATATCTGCGTCTGCAAAACACATGTCCAAATCTTGAAGAAACCATTTCGTCAATATTGAATGTATTCTGAGGCTCTCTTTTCTTGAGTTATATTTTTTAATGTATCACGAATTGTGAGGGGTACGAGAAATATTTAAAGAGACGATAAATTTCTTATTTTGGACGCGTATCGACGATGCTCTTTTGCGTTTCAAGCTGAAAGAACGTTATGTAAAATGTAAAATGTAAAATGTAAAAAGGCTCAACCAGGTTCACTCGTTCACAACGTTCATTCAGAATAGAGCCTAAGCTCTTGACATTATTTTAGGTTTATTCGGGCCCACATTGAGACGACGGAATCGATTCTCGCGCGCCGCGTGGCTCGCTCGTCGCCATTTTTACGCGCGAAATCGATTGTACCAATGGCGATGCTCGTCGAGACGGAGAATCAACGTACTCTAAAGATAACCGTTTCAAATGTAACGAAAATAACGCGTGACCTACACTCGAGTGTATAAACATAAATTCGATTTTACGCAATTCAGCTGGAGGTCTTACTTTTCGCGCAGATTCATTTAAGCCTAACGATTCCGCGATGATGTGTTTGTCACAGACGTACCGCGGCAGTATGTGCGAATGGATTAATTAGGTAATTGTACGTGCGGTAACGATAACGGTACTCTGATAAGAACGACGTTGATTCGCGCTAAATGATCTGTTTACGTACAATAATAGCCTGGCTAGATCGTTCTATTTGATCAAAAGATTTGATAAACGGGACTTTGTGAAATTAACTCGGAGTTTCGTGCGCAATCAGGTGACTGTCATTACATAAATTGCATTTAACGTCGCATGACTGTTTGTGACAATTTCCAGCTCAATTATCGGATGACGAAGGTATACCCATAAAGAATTTGACAAAGAATTTTGCAAAAATTTATTTTACGGAACCTCTCGAGGTACTCTGGAGAGTCTCCGAGGCTCGCTCGTAAATTATTTTCCCAATAGATTCACCTCCGATTGTCACGACGTACGTTTTCTCCAAGACACAGGACGCCGTATCTCGCTGATTTATACCTCGTTTTTCTCGACACTTGTCTATAAGCGAAGGTTAAAAACGCGCTGATGTGTAATTATCTTTTAGAAGTCGCGCATGTCGAGAACATATGGAAGTAACGGAGATAAAGAAAACGGCAGCGAGTTTGCCGTTGCGACGGAATTAATTTCAGAAGAGTTACACTTCATCGCGCGCGTCGAGGGCCGTATGTGCGAGCGGATTACGAGCGATCGATTACCACCGCACGTATGGGATAATACAACTACAACGAGCAATATAACGACGCGACGGCGAAAGAGAGAGAGAGAGAGAGAGAGAGAGAGAGAGAGAGAGAGAGAGAGAGAGAGAGAGAGAGAGAGAGAGAGAGAGAGAGAGAGAGAAAGAAAAAGTGCACTTGCGGTGCGGAAGGTTGTGGGAGAAGCGACTGTTTACCAAGCGCCGAAAAATCGATTATTTCTCCGGTGTTCATGCTGTCGAGAAGAAGTCGTCGAGACGTTTACAGCAATCCACGAGGATAGCTCCCCGTTAACGTCGTTCTTCACGCTAAAACGGCAAGCTGCGACGCCTGCGACGACTGCGTATACCGTACGAGATCCGCGTAATACCCACGACTTCTCGGGGCCGGCCTGCCGAGGCGCTATTTAAACGAAATCGCTCCGTCTAACCTAACCTAACCTTGGCCGATCTCTGGATATCGTGAACGTTACATGAATTTTTCCAACAACGCAGAGAGCGAGAGAGAGAGAGAGAGAGAGAGAGAGAGAAAAAGAGAGGAGAAAAGAACACGCGCGCGAGCTGAGTTAGCATTCGCCGCGATCGACAAACCAGTGCGGAAACAGAAATATTTGAGAAACGAGCATGCAAGAGAATTGAAAAATTAAGCAAAGAGAGAGAGCCAAATACGAGACGTATGTCTAAAGTGTATGTAAAAGTCTTAGAAACATCCTAAAGACGTCTAAAACAAGTAGCATATCTTTGAGATATCTCTAAAGCCAGCGGCACACGGTGCTTGTTTTCGTGCTGGATTGCTTGCTGGATGAAAATATTGCGTTGTGATTGGTGCATTTCCGAAGATGGATGGAAATGCACCAATCCGAACGCAGTATTTTCATCCAGCAAGCAGTCCAGCACGAAAACAAGCACCGTGTGCCGTTGGCTTAAGACGTCTTTTCCCAATGAGAAATGATTCGTCGATCGACGTCAAAACGAGGTCGTATCGACGTCGATTTGACAATTTCGACGTTGATTCGACATCGTTTCGACATCGATCGACGAGTCATTTCTCACTAGGTTACTGATTTATGTTACAGAACGAGTAACGAGTTTGTCGTTTGCTGTCGAATCGTTTCTCCATTTATTGGGCCGTCACGCGCGGTCGCACACATGCAATATATATACGCGCATAAATGATGCCGGGAGCGTTTGTTGCACCTAGACGGCATTCGTCCATTGATTAGTTGTCACATTTGTCTTACGTCGCGGTGTCGATCGTGTTTCGAAAAAGAGATCACGTGTATCGAGACACCTATCGATGTGCGCGCGGGAGAATTCAAGTCGCCGCGATCGGCCAGAGGAATAGCGCGAATATCACTAAGCATCGCAGTCGTGTACACAAAGCCACCGTTGTCCTGTGGAATCGATCGCGCGAGTGAGTGATGAAGAATTAGCGTGAGCGAGTTTTAACGGCTATCGTCGCAGAAACACGATCCTCTCGAGTGGATCCGCCAAGGCCCGTAATCGCACAAGTTGGACAGCGGAACAGTTGGAGATTCCCGAGCTTTCCTTAATTATGTGTACCGTCTAAAATGGATTTATAAGTTCCTCCCATCGCGCGAGACGACAGAGAGAGGACAGTGTGCGAGAGAGGGGCGCGAAAGAGGGAGGGAGAGAAGTGGTAAGCGAGAGAGAGAGAGAGAGAAGTGGTAAGCGAGAGAGAGAGAGAGAGAGAGAGAGAGAGAGAGAGAGGGAGAGAGAGAGAGAGAGACAGGGAGCGCGTGCCCCGATGCTTGTTGGTTGCTCAGCTGTTTTGAAGAATCGACGACGCAGCCTGGACAGGCAGCAGCGATCGGCCGTGACTCGGCGCGAGACCGCTGCACTCACGTCCAAACGCAAACAGATGTGGAGTGACTGTCCAAATTTCTGACACATCTCGGCCACGATTGTCGACGCAAGGAGCATCCCCTTTGCGTGCACGCACAGCGGCGGCGACGAGTGCGAATCCTCGAGCTGAGGTTGAATTAACGTTAAACGGAACGGACGGGATAAAGGAATCGCCATGAGCGAGCTGAGCCAGGAAGAAGTGAGTAGAAAAGACCGCTGTTTCACGGCGTGAATATCCGAATTCGCATCTCCTTGGAACGAACTCGACAGCGACCTGTGCTGTCTTTCCTTTGTGCGGCATTGTCCTCGATGCTGTCTTGCAGCTTTCCCTCTTTTCCCTTTTTCCCTCCAACCTTAGGATACACGCTTATTTCATATTGAGTGCAGAGAGTGTAAGCGAAAGTAGCTTGGTACCGTTGGAGGTACCGAGAGTGTAGTGCAGTTGTAAGAACAAACCAAAGGTTTGTTGTCATACCAGAATATCCATTTCTTTTAACTGCGTTCTCTGTACTCGATAATTTTTTTTTCTCTTCATGCTCGGTCTCTCTCTCTCTCTCTCTCTCTCCATCTCTCTCTCTCTCTCTCTCTCTCTCTCTCTCTCTCTCTCTCTCTCTCTCTCTCTCTCTCTCTCTCCCCCCCTCCCCCCTCCCCCTCCTTTCCTCTTTTTCTTTTCTTTAGATAAATTTGGAATTGTATTTATCTCTTTTCGAATGTAGTATTGCTTGAAAGAAAAAGTAGACTATCAGAATATACTGGCTAAGCTTTCGCTTTATCCGCGTCGCCTCGCGTTCTATTTGTCATTTCTCATTGTACTTGTATTTCTTATACTTCATGTATTCGCGTTTGTCCGCGTTCTTTTTCCTATTTGCGTGCGAACCATTAACGCGTCCCTCTATTGCGATGTTGACGTGAATTTAAATGATTTTATTTTGTAATATCAGTTCTGACAACCTTGTTTGACAACAAATGTGACTTTCTTCGCGTTAATCGTAAATAAAACAGTTCGTATACATATAACGCATAGAAAAAACTTGGATTGTTAATGGATGTAACCAATTTTATGCTTTAACAATGCAAACCTTGTCAGGAGCAAGAGGGAGGGGAGGAGAAAGAGAATAGTCCTGAACAGTTTTTTTCATGTCATCTATTTTAGCTAGTAACATGTACATATATATATATGAGTACATATATATATGAATATTTTGAGATCAATGGTTTTAAATCTGCAGATATTTCTTCCCTTGCATAGCTTCTCTATTGTTTGTTGTCATATTCCTCATTCAGATTTTGTGGACTCATTGTCTCTTTTGTCTGCTTTATTTGTAGCAACATTATGGCCAGCATAAAATCTTGCAAGTAATGAAATCATAGCTCATCAGCAAACATATATAATATGCCATGTCATTCTTTGAAAATTATGACTTTATAGTAGAAGTAATAATATGATTATGGGAATAAGAACCTGAAATTATTCTTCATATTCTTCAAAATGTAATATATTGAGATTGTGTGTTTTCTTTGTTCTCTTACTTATCACTTAAGGTCACATAGTAGACATTTAAAAATAACTGTCCTAGAACAAAGGATTCGTTTTCTTTGAAACATCTAGTAATCTTGAAAATCTCTAAAATCTTGAAAAGAATTTCAAGTCTCAACTACCTTGTTTCATTTGTGCTCTAGATGAGAAGAAGGCGGTTAGCCCGTTTAGCGGGCTTAAATACTAGTAACACGGCTGCCAATTCAACTAACACTACCGCTCCAATATCTCCGAGTACTCCAGGTCCTTCGAAAGCCTTTGCAGAACCAATATCTCCATCTATTCAGCAACAATTTCAACATGCTGAGGTTCCAATGGAAGTAGAAGAAAGCAGCGATAAACAATGCAATACCTCTGGAATAGATGTTGATTCAGGAATTGAAAATATGGAAGTTGAAGAGTCTGATAGGAAAGATTCAATACCGAGATCACGTGTAAGCCTTTATTTATCTTAAGAAAAAATTCATATTTACAAACATATCATATAAGTAACAGAAGTAAATCATTGAAACTTTTCTGTATGGAAGACCTTCTGGACTTATTCCACCATCAGTCTTTATACTTTCTACATTTTAGACAACGAGTTCTAGTATAGAAGTAACAACAGAACAAATACACGCTGTCATATCACGCGTTTTGTGCATATCGTGGAAGAGTCCTGTTGAGGGGAATATATTTCTGCCTCATACAGCAGAATATTTGCAAATACAGCCGGATGCTGCAGACATTATCAACCATGTCTTGATAGAGGTATTATGTATGTTTTCGCGGGGAGAGGATCCTTTGAAAGACATCGCAATAGACATGTCGTCGGACCGCGAGGACAGTCCGAATAGCCAAGCGAGCCCGAGTTTGTTAAGTCCTGTTGTGGCTCTTCCATCTTATGAATTACCAACCATACCGTTACCCATAGGTACCAAGTCATCTCAACCGAAAAGTCTAATTTATTTGTTAGATTGTTACTCAAAAATTGCGACTGAGGAAAGAAACCATCCAAAGGTACATTTATACATACGTCATGAAGATCAAAACAAATTTTGTTAAGTCAACTAATGTTAGCTTTCTCGTTTTTTCTTTTCAGCGATCCAGCGTACCTCCTCTTTCCGAAGTATTGGCAGTTTTGAGAGCACAATGTGTTCAGTATTCCAGCCTTGTTCTTCTAGGATTGATTGGCATCTGCCAAGCTTCAATTGTGCCCATGTGTACCACTCATCTTCTCTACCCGATATTATCGCAAACTTTGCCTCGCGGCTATCTTCATGAGCTCGTGGCCAGGACACATGGGAATCCGACAATATTCGGTAAAATATTTACTCCAGTCCTACAGGGCCTGTATCTTTCGATGCAGCAAGCGAGCTTGGTCGGCAACACGCATAGAAGACCAATCGAGGCGTTGGAAGATCTGCTAGAGATTCGCTGTGGACCGAATGGCAACATACGTCCAATTTGCCGTCTGATCACCAATCAAATTCAATTCTTGCCCGAAGTTATGACATCGGCCGCTGGTAGAGAGCTTACGAGAACCTCGTTTTTAGGACCATTTCTCTCAGTGTCGGTATTCGCTGAGGATCAGCCGAAAGTGGCAGAGAAATTTTTCAGTGGTAATCCATTTACGGACAAGTCGGTGAACGTGACGTTGCAGCAAGAACTCGAGAGCACGAGGACCTTGTTACACAAGATGTTCCACGCGATACTTGCAAACAGTAACTGCCGTGATGCTACCCTGACGTATCTCGCGACATTGCTGCGTCACAATGAAAAACGCGCGCAAATACAGACCGAGGAGTTTTCTTTGGCCGGGGATGGATTTATGTTGAACTTGTTGTCAGTTCTACAGATGCTCTCTGTGAAAATCAAACTGGATACCGTGGACCCCCTGTACCCATTTCATCCCTCTAGCTTTGTCGAGATAAAGAACGACACAAGACTGAAACTCACTTCACAGGAGGTCGCGGAATGGCAGAAGAACCTGGAGAAAACGCATAAGTGGTCGGAAGCGAAATTTCCGACTCAATGTTGGTTCCTCACACTACACTGTCATCACATCGCGCTACTTCCGGCGCTGCAGAAATATCAGAGAAAATTGCGGGCGCTGCGAGATCTGCAGAAGATGCTCGATGAACTGCAAGCCACTGAACCCCAATGGAAGGACACTCCCTTTGCGGAACACAACAAAGACTTAATTAAACAGTGGAAGCAACAATTGAAACGGCTAGTTAAATCGAAATCATGCGCAGACGCGGGACTGATAGACCCCGCTCTTCTCAGAAGGTGCTTACAGTTTTATATATCTGTGGCAGAAATCCTGCTGAGCCTTTTGACAGAGACTGCCCCAGGCGATCCTCTCCCCGAACTTCCGCTTCCTCAAGAAGTCCCGCATAAGTTTACCGCACTACCTGAATGGTACGTGGAGGACATAGCGGAATTCTTATTGTTTACACTTCAGTAAGTTTCCTCTGTTACTTCCTGGCATATTATGTTTTACGTAATGTATTTACGTAACACCTATGTGCAGTTCATGCTTAACGATAAATCTGTTCACTTGTAGATTCTGTCCTGGGGTAATGACAAATAATATGGACAATTCACTTATTACTTGGTTACTTGTCGTTGTATGTACGCCGCATTGTATACGAAATCCGTATCTAATCGCGAAGATCATCGAGGTACTCTTTGTGATAAATCCCAGTATTCAGGTAACGTATATATATTCGCAGATGACTGAACAGACTGCAATCCTCTCTGCCGAATCTGTACCGGTAATATAATGTCGTGTGTGTCACAGGGAAGAACGGAAATACTTCACTATCACGTTATGGCGCATCCTATATCGAAGACACTCCTGGCGTCATATCTCATGAAGTTTTATACCGACGTTGAGACCACTGGCTCTAGTTCTGAATTTTACGACAAATTTTCAATACGTTATCATATAAGTCTAATCCTAAAATCCATGTGGGACAGTCCGGTACATCGAACGTCGATCGTCAATGAGAGCAATAACGGCAAACAATTTGTCAAATTCATCAACATGCTAATGAACGACACCACCTTCTTGCTCGACGAAAGCTTAGAATCTCTGAAGCGTATACACGAGGTGCAGGAACTCATGTCGGACGTTAGTGCGTGGGGCGCGCTTTCTCAGGAGCAGCAGCAATCGCGAACGAGACAGCTGGCAGCAGATGAGAGACAAGCCAGGTCCTACCTTACACTAGCCAAGGAGACAGTTGCCATGTTTCATTATTTGACGGTCGACATCACGGAGCCGTTCTTACGACCTGAATTAGTCGGGCGACTGTGTGCCATGTTAAATTTCAATTTACAACAATTGTGCGGACCTAAGTGCAAAAATTTGAGAGTGAGGAAGCCGCAAAAGTACGGATGGCAACCAAGGACATTACTCAGTCAATTGGTTGATATATATTTGCATCTTGACTGTGATAATTTTGCAGCTGCTTTAGCTAGTGACGAAGTAAGTAACTCGCGATATATGTACAAATATAATGCAGTCTATTTGAAAATTTAGCCATTCTATAGAAAAATCCTCCACAGTCTTCCTATAAAATGTCGCCTTGACACTGAAGTAATTTTACAAAGAGAAAAGCTACGGGCTTTTGGCCGGATTTATCGTAAACTATATAATATAAAATTATATTTATCAATATTCATTATATTTGCAGCGTTCATTCTGTAAAGAATTATTCACTGACGCCGCGAGCAGGCTAGAGAGATCTGCGATAAAAACTCCCACAGAGATCGAGAGGTTCATAGCGCTTGCTGAGCGTGCAGCAGTGATCGCAAGGGATAATCGCGCACGTGATGCGGACTACGGCGATGCTCCTGAAGAATTCCGGGATCCGTTGATGGACACTCTTATGGAGGATCCGGTCAAACTACCATCTGGGATAGTCATGGACAAAGCAGTTATCATTAGACACTTACTCAATAGCGCCACAGATCCTTTCAGTCGGCAGCCTCTTAGCGAAGACATGCTCACACCAAGTAAGCGTACTGTTCGTGTTATTTCCTTGTTCTCTGATAAAGTCAAATTGTTTAAATAAAAAACTCGCGCGATGGACAATAGTAGCGTTTTATAAGATTGCATTTTTACGTGAAATTCGTTCGAAGAATATTCGTGTCCGAAAAATATGTCACAATTAAAATTGTAATCTTCTGTTGGAAATACTTTTTTACATCAAAACTAATAAGTCATGTTTCTGGATATATACTGAACTAATAATTATTTTCGATATATTGCAGTGCTCGACTTAAAAGAAAGGATATCTATGTGGAAACAGCAAAAAAAAAAATCGACAAATTTATAAGCGGTGCTAATTGACGAGGATTTTGCGAAGTAAAAATAAAAGTAAAAGAAATAAAAACATCACGATTCAACATGATTAATAACGATACACGATACATTGAATAATAACGATGCACGATACATTTTATCAACCCGGAAAATGTATCAGCCGAGTGCAGTTGACGAATATAGTGCAATGATCTCGCTAATGTGCAAACAATTGCGCTCAATAAATTTACAGTTTTTATACAATAAACATTAACAGACTGCAGCTAGCGAACTGCCACAATATTGCTCCAAACATACTTTAGAAACTTGTAAATAATTGCTGGCAAATGCGTCAGTATCCAAAATTACGTATTATTCATAAATAAGCTCTTTTATTTTTTACGTTCTCCGGTGTATGTGGCGGCGGGTAGCATGTTTCAGACATATCCCGCGTTTGATCATGAAAATATTATGTTAAATAGTATAAACTAGTAATATATATATAAATGAGACTATACTATATATATAAATAAATATATATATATATATATACTTCCATGAACTTCGACGTTTAAAATAAAACAACGTTGACGCAAAATTAAACATAAGGTTTGTAATTCAATGATTTAAACAGTACTATTACTTGAAGATATTATATCAGATTGCAGTATTTTGTTTATTATTAATAATTGAAATGTAAATCACGGAATTAATTTTGCACTCTTGTATTAAAGATTGTAAGAGAACATCTCGATTTATAGTCAGATGATTATAAAATGATAGAGATTTTAGCAATTATCACATCAAAGCAAGTAACATATGCATATGCAACCTTTTATAGGTAACTGCTGCATTAAATTTATATTACTTTGAAACGTATTTTGAGTAAACCATTTGCTTTTCATACATCGTGAACATTTTACTTTGAATATACCATAGTAAGACTCAGGCATTTTCGTTATTTCTGCCCGGCTATTTTATAATTTATACATACAAAAAACATTGTGAAACATTTTTCCACTTTCTAATTTCTACTGGCCAAGTCATACATGTATATATATATAACACTTCTATGCTTTTAACTACGTACACATATATATATATAGAAATATACATACACATGTATATCTCCCTTTCTGTTATACAAATTAAATATTAAATTGTTCTTTATCGTTTATTAACTATCACTTGGTCTATGTATTTTATGCTACAGATATGGATATAACATTCCGAAGAAATTACGATATTTAAGAAAACTAGCACTTATTCGTGTTATATAAAATTCTAAACTATATATTGGTTAAACATTTTTCACATGTATATATTCTATCGCGCGATTTATTTGTAATTGTTTATTTTGGAAGTAATAGTTGCATTTATTCAATGTCGTGTGCTTTCATGAAATCAAATTTTTTTGCTTGAGTAGTGCCAGATATTGTTATTTTGACAACATTAGAATACATACTGTCAATAAATGTAAATATGAACTTTACGTATTTCGCATTATATATTGTGATATTATACAGAATGGATCATGAGAAAATTGAATTGTTTGAAGCACTTGTGAATGTTATCATCCCCATATTAAGTATTGACATAGAGAAGTACAATATATAACATGAGTATTAAAACCATTTAATCTTAAATCTATAGGTAATGGATTTAGATGATACATGACTATTCTTCAGTGGTGAAATTACATGTTATTTGTTATACTTCTTGGCACTATCACAGTCTAAAATAACGGACTTGACAAAATTTAACAATCTTAATACATTGTATTTAAAATTATATATATATATATAATTTATATGAATTATGATAATCTTTGGTACACCATGTGAATTGATTAAATTGAAAAAAAAAAGAATACAAAAAAGGGGTATACAAAAATGTATTGAAGTTCACAATGTGCTTGCTATTTGTACATAGATTCAAAAAGATGTTCATCCAGTTTGATTGACATTTGTAATAATATATTTGATATGTCCTCTGCATATATATTAGTATAATTCATTAATTCATGTGAAGAAATATTTGAGATGGTACTTGTAAATATTAGGATTGATGTAAAATATAGAAATAAACAAAATTCAATGCGAAATGAAAGTATTTGGGTGAAACAACAAAATTGTTCATAAAAAGAATGTTTAAGTATAATTAATGATGGCAATTAAATCATTTTTATCTTGAGAAATAAAAAATATTTGGAGATGAAATAGCTGCTATCTTATATTTTTTTCATCAGTCTAGTCTCATACTAATATAAAAATCATAATACTTTTTGAAAAACTTAGGTTTGTAAATAATATTATGTGTAGCCATTATCCTAACATATATGCCTACTGAATTGCAGGATTCCACACATACACACATATATTCTTTTTCACATATAGTCTTTTTCAAATTAATTATTTTAATAGACAAAATTTAGTATCAAAAGATATTTGGTGAAAATAAAAATGTTAGTAGAAAAATATTATATATTCAATAACAACTAAATAAGTTTTGCTTTAAGAAATGAAATTTAAGAGAAATGTTGCTGCCCTACGAGTCTTTTCATCAATCTCATATTGGTTCAAGAGCTTCTATAATCCTTCCTGAAAGACTTAAGTTTTTCAACATAATTAAGTCTAGCCATTATTCTACCTCGTCCAATGCCTAACGAGCTAACAACTGACATATCATCTCTTATAGATTCATCATTTTGATCCATGTATGCAGGTCTTGAGATACTCTCCTCTATTTGTCCTTCCCAACTATCATCCAATGTACTTGTGGTCATATTAGATTTTGTTTTCCATGTCGACAGAGCAGGTTCACTTTGTTCTGCATATTATATGATTAAATTATACACAACTAATCAACTAATTATATTAAATTATATCTAAAGTGTCAGCATTTGTTTTATTGTGTAATTTCTGGTGAATTTTAAGTGATACTTACGTTCAATATGATTAGCTTCAACAATCTTCCTCGAGGAACATGTTTCAATATGTTCTGCAATTTCTGACTTGCTCAGACGATGAGTTGCATTAAATGGACACATGACTCTATAATTTGAGTCGTAATTCTATTGAAATTGAAATATATTTCTATAGAAAATTATTACAAAAAGTATATTTAAATGCATTCTAATATTTTGTACAATAACAAAAAACATTCTACATTTAAATATAATTTATGCAGTAATTACCTTTTCGCATTTCACAATGTGTCGTTGAATCCTCGAATTAAACACGATGTGATTTTTGTTGAAAGGACATTGCACAACCTTATCATTATCATTTAAATTCGGAAGTTTATACATTTTGCACACGTTATAATTGGTTATAATAGCAGAGAGAAGAATGAGAGCGGCCACCGGCCGTATTTCGGGGGATACGGCTAGGCGCATTTTAGATACACCATCTGACCAAAATGCGCCTAAACTACGTCCGCTAGGCGCACTTTCGCGGTGATAAAAGTAAAATGCGCCTAGGTTCGTGTCCGTACTACTTCCATGCAATGGATAGTAGATTAGAAAAAGACAGACGACAGACAATCGTTCCGTCTTTGTCTCACTACTGAGCGGCGCGCGGCAGTAAACACGAGGCGAGGTAGCGGCGATCTTATCGCTAAGCGAACATCTCTCCGCTTTTCTTTCATCTTTCACGCTCCAGAGACATCAAAAGACGCGGTAGCGTCTCGTGTCAAGGGAAGCTTGACACCTCGCTTCGTGCGAAGCGAGGAATTATTTTTCACGCACGCGAGGTAGCACATGGGAGACTAGACGAGCGTCGACATATTATCTGTTTCTTTCCCGCTCGTCTAGCTTATTGACTGCGTGAGCCGCGAGATTTTTCTCGCTACTCCTATACCTCGGTCTTTCTCTCTCTCGCTCGTTCTTTCTCTCTCTCGCGCACTTGCTCGCTCTTCCTCTCTTCTCGTGTTCTTACGGCTTGATTAAATATATTAATTACATGACAATATATATATATATATAAATAAATGACACATATATGGTGTATATATATATAAAGAATATTTAGTATTAATGCACAAATAAAGAAGAGAGAATTATAATGAGAGACGAAAAGTTAATAGAAATCCACTCTTAGCCAACATATACATCTTTTAAAAATGATTTGTTATTAAAGTATATGACAGAATAATTTATTTATGCTAATAAATTTAAATTAAAAATTAAATGAAATGTTATTTGTTTTGTAAAAGATATTCCATTGTTACATTTTTCTTTTCGTAGCAAAAATAAATTTAGTCTAGTAAAAAAAGAAATTAGTTTTATTATCATATTTCAATTACGACTTTGTTATTTAATTTTACGAATAGATAACGTGCATATTGTTGCTCAACGGAAACCGCGAGAAAATGATCAATGATGATATTTTTTGACGGAGATCAATGATGATCTCCGTCAAAAAATAAATGCAAACTTTTTAATAATATAATTTTTTTACGTAAGTGTTTGTTTTTATAGTATAACCTGTTGAATTTTATTAATTATTAATTCAGCATGTTATAGTATAAAAATATATTTTAATATAAAAATTAACGTAATATTATTGGGTGAGTGCAAAAGTTCGTGCGGAGTTTCAATAGATGGAGTTATAAGCGTCGTAAAGTGTTGTCATTAATACTTCCATCTACATATTATATAACGTTGGAAAGGTGACGTCTTCAGCTGTTATTAAAAAAAAAATCATTTGTTTTCATACAAACTGCTTCGAGAAATATCACTTTAAAAATGAGTATCGATAAGGTGCATTTACGGCATGTTATGCTTTACGAGTTTCGGAAGGGAATAAACGTTGCCGCAGCCGTAAAAAACATTCAGGATGTTTATCAGGATGAAGCACCAGCTAAACGAACTGTGGAAAAATGATTTGCTAAATTTCGGCGCGGAAAATTTAACCTTGAAGACGAGCCACGCTCTGGTCGACCTTCTGACATTGATGACGATGTTTTGCGTACTTTAGTGCTCAATAATCCGCGAGTTTCAACAGAAGAAGTTGCTACAGCACTAAACGTTGACCGATCAACCGCTTTTCGGCGTTTAAAAAAGATGGGATTCGATTTGAAGCTCGATATATGGGTGCCCCATTTGCTGACCGAGAAGAACAAAATCAAGCGAATTTCTGCAGCCGTTTCTTTACTCGGGCGGCTCAATAACGAGTCGTTTTTGGATCGACTAGTGACGGGCGATGAGAAATGGGTCCTCTACAACAATGTTCAGCGCAAACGGACATGGAAACAATCAGGTGAGCATGGTGACGCAATGCCAAAGGCCAGTTTGCACCCGATGAAGGTGATGCTCTCTGTTTGGTGGGATTGCAAGGGCATAATCTATTTCGAGCTTCTCCCCGCTGGCGAAACGATTGATTCGGACAAGTACTGTCGCCAATTAACCAATCTGAATCGAGAAATAAAAGAGAAACGTCCGATTTTGTCAAATCGCAAGGGAGTCGTCTTTCATCATGACAACGCCAGACCACACGTTTCAAAAAAGACGCTGCGCAAACTGAAGAGCCTGAAATGGGATGTCTTAACGCATCCACCGTATTCTCCTGATATCGCACCATCTGACTATCACTTGTTCCGGTCATTGCAAAATTATTTAAATGGAAAAAACTTTGGCTCTTTGGAGGCTTTAAAAAACGGCGTCTCTTCGTTCTTCGAATCTAAACTGCGCAGTTTTTATGATCGAGGCATCCGTATGCTGCCAGAACATTGGGAAAAGATTATAGAAAACGATGGAGAATGTATCATTGATTGAATAAAGATTTTTGTTTGCCTAATCACTGTGTGACTTTTACTCACAAACTCCGCACGAACTTTTGCACTCGCCCAATAATTGTTTGCATTTGCAAGAAATATGGATAGAACAGGATAGGTGGCAATGATACATAGGAAGATGTTCGGAAATGCGCAGGCAATGACATAACATCACGTTGCCACAAGCAGCATCATTATTGTCATCAAGTCGCGGCCGCGTGGCGGACAGCCTATTTGTTCTCTGAGAATCTTTCAATTTTTATGTTCGTGAAAAGTTTATAAAATTCGTAAAGAAAAAAAATTATTTTACTACCTACCTGTTCAAGAGTTGCGCATAAGAGATATTTTAACAAATCTGAATCTGAATCAGTCAACAAATTAAATTTTTCATTCAAAGAAGCATATGTAGGGTAAGCATAAATAAGATACATATAAATAATAAATTAAATATTATTCTCTGAATATAATAATAAATATTTTTGTTTTAGCTGAATCATCGAAGTAAATATTCTATTATAAATTGACTTTTCGGATTACAATATTAATTTGATTTTTCAGAATACACTTTCAAATTGACTCTTCGGAATACGCTATTAAATTGACTTCTCGGAGTACACATTTGAATTGACTCTTCTGACTACACATTTGTTAGTTGACTCTGTGGAGTACATATTTTTTAATTAACTCTTCGGAGAGAAGAGAAGAGGGACATTTTCTATTTTATTTAAAAAATCTTAATTTTTGCAGAAAACTGATTGATGAAGAAAAAAATTAATTCACGACCTCAACGAAGAACTTAAAAAAATTACTGCAAGAAATGAAGTTGTTGTTATTATATGCCATATTGTACAATATTAAAACATACGCGCAATAATTATCTATAATTTGCATATATGGACGTTTATGTAATTATAAGTAATATAAAAGTCATGACAAATTAATGTGGCTGCGCGTTATCTCTGTCGCGTCATTGCTAGAAATCGTCTGAACTCTCGAAATTATTTTCTTCCCGAATTATGAATATAAAACAATGTGGAAAGAAAAACAAGGGGGTGAAAGGGGGGACGGCGACGTCTGCTTTACGATGACATCGCTGCTGGCTCGCGATTGTCTATTCGCTGGTGGTGAGACGAAGACCGATTCTCCGTTTTCATCTAACTCAGAGCTGGAGACTAAGGCCGACATTTATAGTCGGATCTTATATTTAAGATCATCTTAAGTTCATCTCCAGATGTTGTATAAATTATTCTATTGGCTACGAGATATCTGTAGGTGAACTCAAGGCGGTCTTAAATATAACTGAGAAAGGTTGGAAAACTTTAATCTCCGATATCTCCTAAACGGTTAGAGATACAGGCCTGGTTCTGGCACCAAATTAAAGTCCTCTCAAAACCCTACATTTTGCCGTAAATGGCGACTCTCTACTCACAGTAGAAACGGAGATATCAACGGAGAAAGGTTGGAAAACTTTAATCTTCGATATCTCCTAAACGGTTAGAGATACAGGCCTAGGTCTGGCACCAAATTAAAGTCCTCTCAAAACCCTACATTTTCGACTACATGGACGACTCTCTACTCCCAGTAGAAGCGGAGATATCGACGGAGGAAGGCTGGATATCGACGGAGAAAGGCTGGAAAACTTTAAACTTCGATATCTCCTAAACGGTTAGAGATACAGGCCTGGTTCTGGCACCAAATTAAAGTCCTCTCAAAACCCTACATTTTGCCGTAAGTGGCGACTCTCTACTCCCAGTAGAAGCGGAGATATCAACGCAGAATGGTTGGAAAATTTTAACCTTCGATATCTCCTAAACGGTTAGAGATACAGGCCTGGTTCTGGCACCAAATTAAAGTCCTCTCAAAACCCTACATTTTGCCGTAAGTGACGACTCTCTACTCCCAGTAGAAGCGGAGATATCAACGGAGAAAGCTTGGAAAATTTTAACCCTCGATATCTCCTAAACGGTTAGAGATACAGGCCTGGTTCTGGCACCAAATCAAAGTCTTCTCAAAAACCTACATTTTGCCGTAAGTGACGACTCTCTACTCCCAGTAGAAGCGGAGATATCGACGGAGAAAGGTTGGAAAACTTTAACCTTCGATATCTCCTAAACGGTTAGAGATACAGGCTTCGGACAGGCACCAAATTAAAGCCCTTTCAAAACCCTACATTTTGGACTACATGGACGACTCCCTACTCCCAGTAGAAGCGGAGATATCGACGGATGAAGACTGGATATCGACGGAGAAAGATTGCAAAACTTTAACCTTCGATATCTCCTAAACGGTTAGAGATACAGGCTTCGGACAGGTACCAAATTAAAGCCCTTTCAAAACCCTACATTTTGCACTACATGGACGACTCTCTACTCCCAGTAGAAGCGGAGATATCGACGGAGAAAGGTTGGAAAACTTTAACCTTCGATATCTCCTAAACGGTTAGAGATACAGGCTTCGGACAGGTACCAAATTAAAGCCCTTTCAAAACCCTACATTTTGGACTACATGGACGACCCTCTACTCCCAGTAGAAGCGGAGATATCGACGGATGAAGGATGGATATCGACGGAGAAAGGTTGGAAAACTTTAACCTTCGATATCTCCTAAAC